ATTTGTCTGTGAGTTAGCCTACATAGGTGGTTATTCATGATGGTACTAATTTTTCTGTGACACCAATAAGTATAACTTGACTCCCCTCCCCTGAATGAAACTTATATCTTGTTGATCAGGGATACAGAAGTGCATCAGTTAGTTGTCTAATCACATTTTATTTCGTGGTTTCAATGACTTAACATTTTATATGCGTTTATTGCTCAATCAAAACTAACTGACTACTATTATGTCGATTAATACTTTTATCCCAACATAGTTTCCGATCTAATTTGCATTTGGCTTTAAATGATCACTAGAGATGAATAAATACGCGTCAGTGCTAGTGATCTTGATCTAAACTGTTATTCACTGACAAATGGATTTGTAACGAATTAACAGCATTTTACGAAATGATCAAGGATTTTCACTTTGTCTCCTAGCTATCCATTTCAAAAAGGTTTGTTTCCGGAAGTGGGATATATGTTTAAAATGCTCAGCGTTTCAGGGGACCGCTTTCTATAATTAAGGTATAATTCTCCTAATCTGATTCCATAAGGTAGCAAAACACTGATCAGTCGCATTATCCAAGTTTCCAAATTATCATCGATGTGAAAGAGGTAGAAAGCCTGAAAATATTAATGCATACGTACATACTTAAAGTATTTAACAGCATCAGATTAACTCTTCTGTTCCAAAATCAACTGTGTCTATCTTTCATTCGTGAAATGAGCAACAAAAAAACACAAGGTTTGATTCATGACCTATCCATTCACTTCATTTAACCTCATCTGATTTACTAGTCAATAGCAAGCCAGGAAAAGACTGTAGGTTTGCCATGTAGGTAGCATCCCTTCCCCGTCGTTAGAAGAACATGGCTACTGTCACTTTAAAGCCTCGGGTCTGAGGCCTCATGTTCCACTCAGAACTAATTCAGGGAATGAAACGAACAAGAAAATTTTCAGAAACTGCAAGTCTACCATTACATCATAACCTTTATTAACAATATTCTAATATAACAGATTTATATAAAGTTGTATAACTGTTGTATTATACTAAGTGATTGAAGGCAGTTAGTTTTAATGCCGTAGAAGCTGTGTTCTTCTAGACATTCGTAAGACTAAACGAAACAGAAAACTGTGGAGTGAAATTATCTTGTTATTTCGAAACAAGTGATTATCAATAAAGTTGTTGAGAATAATAAAATGGGCACTGACTCATAGATATACACTGTTTATAAGTCAGTGTTTCATACTTTCATTACTCCTGTTAGATGTTTGGAGGTAATCTGTAGGACGTCTTGTCTGACCTGGGTTTTGTGCTAGTTGATACTCACCAGTCAGTGAGGCTTATCTGCAATCTTGAAGGAACTCAGGTCCCTTCTGAGATTCGAAACTGTGTCACCTGTTGCTGTAGTCAGAGACGTTACAGCTGAGATATTCAAGCTTGCTACTGACCTCCAGTATTATATATTTTTGATTGATCACAAGTCAGTAAATGGTGTAATGTGTCCAGTCCTTTGTTCAATGCAGACTGAATTCTATCAGCCAAGTTTGCAATGCGGCCACCGTTCGAATATTAGAAGGGAAATGAATTCCTTCAATGTTTCACATATGCCTTGCTAACTGGTAAGTGTCAGCTAGCACGGAACCTAGGTCCAAGGCTTCCTGCAAATTACCTCCAGCCATTTAATATCAACAATTCAAAGTGGACCGTAATGGTGAGCCGCTTAGCTTGATGGTGACCATATTGTAAAGTTGGCTGGTAAAATTCAGTCTGCTCCGAACAAAGGACTAGATACATTACACTAGATACTGACTAGCGTCCAATCGAAAATATACTTTCATTACGGTTAAAAATGGTTTAAAAACTGGAGGTTAGATCAGTAGCAGCAGACCATCTCCCTACCGAAAAAGATGTAATATATAGGGACAGGCTTCAAAGAAGAAATATTGTGGAAGAGAATATTCTTTATGTCATTGATGCGATCCATCGTCTTCTGTCACCTAGTGTTCCCTAAAATTTAAAGAGAAATTCTCACACATGACTTAGTCCATATTTAGCCTGTAATTCACCCACGAGAGTAAAGAGACATGATCCCTCATGGTAGGAAACTAGTAAGAGTGGGACTATGAGAAGTGATATAACTGAACTTGTTTTTTTAACTATGGTCACTCAGCGTAAAAAAACATAATCTATTGAAGTTTTTAATTCCCAAAATGGAGGTGATTTGCTGAAAGGTAATCGGCGGAAAGAATTGCTGTGAAGACTAAATACTAGCTGAAAAATATTTTCTTCTCTTTCTAAAGTCCTAGTGAGTATGAATTCATATAACAAAAAAAAACATCTAGTCGATATTTCATTGATTTCATAAGGACTGGACTCTTTGAACTGAGATAATCTGTATGTCAATGTACTCACTTATGATTTTCTATTAGGAAGGAACGATCCATCCATCCACATGGAACGGGCAGTAAATCAACTTTCAAAGTTGTACACCTCTAATCAGAAAGAGAAACCTAATATACTCTCTTTCCTCGAGGATTCAGAAAATATTTACTGAGAAGTCAGTTAACGAAGATTTGAGAAATCTCCGAGGGACGTTGATAGAAAGTGGTTTCCCACCCAGATTCATAGACAAGAATCTAAAACTAAGGAAAAAGCCTGATTAGGTCCAAGTTGCTGATACTTAACCTCAGATTTAAAAGTGATACCGAAGCAGAACTTCCTTGTAGACGACTTTCGAAGTGTCTCAGTAAAACATACTTAGCCACCAGCCAACAAGTAACATTTCCCTGCAATAAACTATTCAACCAACAGGTAAAAGATAAGCTGTCGCATCGGGCCACTTCAACATGTGCATGCCAGTTCACTTGTTCGAATGGAGCCGAGTACATCTGTCGTACCTTGTGTCCACTTGTAAAAGGTTCTCGAGAATACTATCCAGCATGGTTAGCAAAGAGAGAACTCAAGCGTATATTACAGTTCAGGAAAAGAACATCCGGAGAATTCGGGTCATTCAGCTCCATTTGAAAAGTCCTTCAACGTCATATACAAGATCCCAAGAAAACAAACATTAATTGGAGTGAAATCAAGACATCTAGGAATAGTTGAAACACTGGCGAACCAAAAGCTCAAGCCTGCATTGTGTATTCAAAAGAAATATGTCCAACCGTTTTCCCTACAGTGGCCATCATAAAAAGTCAGTCCCACGAATAATGATTATCCAGTTGCTTTTCTAATCCAGCCTTCCCGTTTGTTTTTGTTATTTTTATGTTTTTTTTAAAAAAAATTCCTGTATACATTACTATGCTTTTTATCCGAAATTCCTACTAATTTTGTTATTACTTCGTCTTTGATCCGTAATCGCACAAACAGTCAAGTTTTCTTTAATTATTATTATTATTATGTCATTTCTATCCTATCTTCCTGATTATAACATCTTGTAATTTTATTAGTTTGACCTTTGATCTGGAATAGTTCTGCTACCTATCTATTTCACTATGTTCTGTATCCGCTCTTTTATTTATTACACTTTGTAATTTCAATAATTTAACCTTTAATCTGGAATAATTCTGGACGTTTCTCATACATTAATTATAGATACACGAATGAACAGCTTAGCTTACGACTTTATCAAAAAGAAAATTTTCTTCTCTGCAACTGGCTTTTAATAATTCTAATTGTACTCCGGTGGTTTAGTTGCAGAATACGTATCCACCAAGAGCGCCAACCGAATACTAGCCGAAATACTTCTAACCACCATAAAGCTTATAGAAGAAGGGAGGTAGAAAGCGAAGTTTGCAGCCTCGCCCTATAAAATTAACAGTACTGGGGCTTCTTAAACTCCGAGAGCTTGAAGCCCCATGTTTCACGTGAAACGCAATGCAATGAAAAATCTATCATCATTTAAAATAAATAATTGACAGTTTTAAATGTTTCAGGAAAAAATTAATGGTGTTATCTATGATCACTTCATTGTCTGCAATGTTTACGCAGTGAAGATGTTACTGTAAGAATATGAGTATTTTTGCAAGGAAACTTCTGTCATTCATAAATATATCCTGCTTCACATGATCAGAAATGAAATGAACAACAATGAATATTTCAGAGTAATTTGATAGACTACCACCAGTGGAGTAAATAATGCGCCTTATGTCCTATTTGGGAATTACGGTCAGCCTGATATTTCTTTAATTCCCACTGATTGCGACGGTTTTACTCCCACTGAGACTCGAACTCTGAACCCAACGTCATAAAAACCCGCAGCGTGACCCACTAGACCACTTGAACCATGCCAGCCATCTCTTGAGCAATGGGAATCAGTTATTATTTGTTTTGAATTCAATTTTTACTTTTCCGTCTATTGACCAAACTGAATTGTTCGGCTCCCAGTAATAGCAGCCAATATGTCATCAACACAGGCTGAACATTTCGATCCAATCAATCATCAGGAAAATCAAAATTTACAAAATAAACAAATAATATTGATTTGTTTCAAGAGAAAATGTTTAGCTACTCACAAGTAATTTAATTCAATTATAGATTTTTCTGTCGATTGATTGGACCGAAGTGCTCGGTCTCAGGTTGACATGTCGGCTCCTTGTACAGATGCTTCGACGATGTCTGGTAATGTAAATTGAAGTTAACTGATGAATGTTGACTAGTAGTGGAATCCTAGGCGCTCGCTTCATCCTATTCGCAATTTGTCACCTAGGTGTACCAGCATTTTCCAGCGAATGATGATGACCCATTGGACAGGAGGTGGCTGTCGTGGCCCAAGTGGTCTAATGGATAACGCTCGCGTACTGGATTCGAACCTCGGGGGAAACACCATCACTCACTGGGTATTGCAGTGATGAAGAGATGACGAGTCCCAAATGGGGAGAAATGCGCTTTGTCCTGGATTCCACTGCTAATCACCATTCACCAGTACATACAAGTAACGTGAATGGTAGTGTTTAAATTCAGTAAGTGTATATTTAAAAATGATAAACTCATTTTTTTTGTTTGTATTGCAGTGAAGAATTAGGATCTTCAAGATCAAGTTTTGAAGATAATACTGCCCTCCAGTCAATGGTACGTGTAACCGATAGAGTACAACACTTTATGAGTCTGACTGATCAAGTCAAAAGCGAAAAAAGTTTGAACGAATTAACTAAAAATTTACCCCCATTGGCTGTAAAATCTAGTCAGACAGACTGGACGAGTTCACAGGCATCAAGTCCTCAGTCAATTGACTCAAAATTGTTGGAATCAACTTCATCATCAGCCCTTCCTAATGAAACATCAATAAACGAATCAGATACTCAATTACTTTCATTTATTCAACAATTGTTTTATTATTTTATTGTTGGTTTCATTGTTTATAAAATAATGTCATGGCTAAATCTACGGCCTACCTTTGGTTAACATATATATACATTGACTACAACTCAGGACTGGACAGAGTACACGATCCGATTTGCTTATCTAAGCATTCTTTTTCAATGTAGAAATCAAAATCTCTCGATATATACATATAATGTGATGCATAATAAGTTTTGAGAGTACACTGGCGTGGATGTATAAAAGAGTTTCAGAGCAAAAGAAAAAGCTGACGACCATTTTATCATTAAGATTACTATTATTATTATTATTATGGTTAATATTGAAAAAAACCAATTATGTACAAAGCATTTGGGATCTTCATACAGACAAGGATTCGAATCCCTTCTGTCTGTATTATAACTACATATTATTACTACTGTGTATGCCCAAAACACATTTATATCTAATAACAATTTCTTGACTATAAACATTAACAAAATCAACAATCAACATCAAATTGTCTACAATGCCTAATGCCTCTTCTTCTGCCTTATATGACTATTACTATTACTGTCATTCTCTATGTGTTATCTAATGTAATTGTTTTTTAATTACATGTTGAGTCAGTTTTTTGTTTATATTTTGACGTAACTTCATCACGATGAATGACGTCCATATCATCATAACATCCTACTTGTAATTAAAACCAAAACTGAAAGGAAAAGAATTGTTGAGCACTATCCTGAACTCTTGTGTTGTCATGAAAAAATAAGTAAAAAAGACTCAACTCATTGTATACGCACGTCAAAACGAACTGCATGTGAAACAATCAAATCAATCCACTATACAAATTCATTCAATTAACAATAAGAATATCATTTTTGAATGAGACAGTCATAAAAAGATATGACCTGAATATCCCTAAATGCTGCATTTAAACAACAATCCAATAATAATAATAATAATTTATTTCAATGGTATCAATTGTAAAGTCAAAGTGCGACACAACATTGTTGTCATATTTTGACTTTTATGCTATATTCGATTTTGCATTTTCGAGTTTTCAACTGTTTGGAATTTCGATTCACTAAATCATAGTGGGAAGGAAATATAGTAGTAATATTATCTCATTTTTGTTGGTTGATTAATTCTGTCCCCATCTCTCTGATCTTCACAATAAAAAAACGTCGACGACAACAAAATTTATGCTATTCGCTGTTTCTATTATTTCCAACCAAGCATTGATACAATTATGTCGCTAAAAAGAAAAGTTTCTACCCAGCCTATATGTATAATAAATAGTCCACTTGCTTTTAATTGTTATTTTGTGTCATTCTGTGTTTTCTTCTGGCCTTTCTTGTTTACAAACGTACTGACTTCCTTATTTTCAAAGATTAAATTTTCTTATTGTTTCAACAACAAAGTCAAGCAGTAGAAATATACATAAACAGATGAGATACTTAGAATAATTGTGATATTGATATGTAAGTTGAGAAAGAAAAGATAAAATGTACTGTATGCATATTTAATAAATTAAATTATTTTAACTTAGTTCATTAATTATTGGGTGAGAAAAAAAAAATATATATATATCAACTCCTACTGAAGATCAAATGGCCAGAAAGAATTAACAACAAGAAGCTCTGGAAAAAAACCAACCATGAGCCGACTAGTCAACAAATATGTAGGAGAAAATGGAGATAGATAGGGCATTCGTTAAGGAGACCATTGAATGATGCCGCCCATCAGGCCCTCGAGGGTGGGTGCCTTGCGCTGCGGGTTGGCCACCCCTCCGCACACCTCTTGAAATGCTCCCATATGACCGGGTGTCTTACATAGCCTCTCCTGAGGAAGTCCTACTCACTGCCTTCACGTGGCGGAGGTGTTTCTCACCAAAGTGAGAGGGCGAAAGCGGATGCCCGGCGCTCTCCACCGGGTTGACTGTCCATTGGATGACGGTCTAGGGGAGATGGCTAAACCCTGATTCCAAACCTCCAACGACTGGCGTATGAAGCTCACTGGAGCTCACCGGCAGACGTATGGACAAAGGGCTTGTTGGATGTCCTGGATGTCTGGCCCCATTCAAAAAGGCGTATGAACCGAACTCCGGTCACCGGCTGCCAATGGATAGTGGACTCCTTACTCCACTCCTACTGCCTTGTAGGTCACACTTGGCTGTGTGAAGGCTAGAGCTGCACTCTCAAACAAAAGGCCGAGCGATGCTGGGGACATCACTCGTACCAAATTCCCATGAAACTTCATGAACTCTCTTACAAATTGCCGCGCCTGGGCAGCGATGATTCGAGACGTTCATGAAGCCGGCTCATCCTCCCGTAGGAGATAGCCGAAGTAAAGTAAAGTAAGTAAGTATCAGGCCCTCGAGAGGAATCCCAGTGGGAAGCGATGAGTGGGTCGTCAGTACGAGGGTGACATGGAGGAGATCGTATGAGGAGGAGAAGATAACAGATTATGGGCAATCGTGGACAGAGCTGAAGAGGACAACAGAGAATAAAAAAAGGTGGAGATATTTGGTTGAAGCCCTACGTTAATATATATGTAAAACTTGGATACTTTTTTTTGTTAGATGTATCACACAGTGAAACAGTATTATTTACTGGATGACACAGTTTCGAACAAAACTCCTTATTGTTCATAATCATATCAATTGTAATCATACGACTTCGAAACTTGAGTTTTATAGTTTTCTTTGACTTCTCCTATTTGTCGTCGTAGGGGTAGTAAAATTTTCCAGATATCTGGCTGGACAGGTGTTGAATCATTCCTATTACACGTATTCTCTTCATTTGATTCGATAAACAAAGCTTCTGCTATCAATCTCTCCCTCCATTCACGCTGTGACATTAGATTTGAAAACTGTCATCCTATTGTATGGTTGTGTGTGACTGCATGTGGTGTAGTGCTGTGGCTAAACTATTCTCTAGATTTCTTACCTAAATTTGGGGTCAACCAATCTAGGTTTTTATGTTCGGCTAATCTGACTGCCCTTGTTCTTGATTGGTTGACCCAAATAAAGGCAAGAAATCTAGAGAATAGTTTAGCCACAGCACTACACCACATGCAGTCACACACAACCATACAATAGGATGACAGTTTTCAAATCTAATGTCACAGCGTGAATGGAGGGAGAGATTGATAGCAGAAGCTTTGTTTATCGAATCAAATGAAGAGAATACGTGTAATAGGAATGATTCAACACCTGTCCAGCCAGATATCTGGAAAATTTTACTACCCCTACGACGACAAATAGGAGAAGTCAAAGAAAACTATAAAACTCAAGTTTCGAAGTCGTATGATTACAATTGATATGATTATGAACAATAAGGAGTTTTGTTCGAAACTGTGTCATCCAGTAAATAATACTGTTTCACCGACTGTGTGATACATCTAATAAACAAACTAATATGGAAGCCCTATGTTCTTCTCGGAACCCAAGGAAATAATAATATAGCTACCATTGAAATACTCCTGCACAACTGCTTCAGGGTCTTGGTGATCAATACTGAATGCATGTTTTGTTTTTCAACAAGGGGCTTTATTGAGGAATTCAATGCTTTCAAGAGGTTAAAAGACAATTCAGTGAAGGAAAACTTCGATATCGATGAAATCCTTTTTATCAGAGTTGCTATGAAACGATTTGCAAGTAAAGAACTGAATGCTGATCGCATTATCTCTTTTTCTTTATGTGAATATTTCACGTTCAAGACTGGCCAAAGTAGTGTGTCTTAATTGTGCACTTTCGGAAAACTAAGTAATCAGGGATTTACAAGACATAAGGGTAGTAGTTGTTGCAACAGTTAAGAGCTAGTGATAGACTCATTCCTTCTCTTCTCCAGGGTTTGTGTTATCTTTTACTCTATTTCTTCTGCCGGGTCTTTCTCGATAGTATCTTTTGAAAATCTGCTTTCATCTGATATGATGGATAGAATTTTATCGATGTAGTAATGACGATTCCAGGAACTTCATCTAGACGGATCACCACTAGCTTTGTATTTCCCAAAATCTTATTTGGTTACCTTCTATATTCAGCTAGAGTCAGTTATTTCGCATTTGGTTTAGTTTGACAGCTGTTTAACACTGCTAACTTCAGCTGTTGAACAGTTTTGTTTGACCCTGGGAGAAGATCAATCTCGCTATAGATTACTTCTTCAAATTGGACTTCTACATCCAGATCATTCTACTTTGTCAAAATATCGAAGAATTTTGAATCAAACGATAACTACTGAAAGTGTTTATAAGTAGTGTAGAGATACAGATATAAATATGTCTAGCATCTCATTAGATAGAGTCAGAATGACGGATTAAACGACGAAGAGAAGAAATGAAGGGTGATTGTGCAACAACATAGAAAAGACGAAAGGAAGACAAAGAAGTGCAATACGGAAGACATGTGCAAATTGTGATTTTATAGTATGGTAGATACATTGTCTGTACATCGAGCTGTCATCAAAGATTGCCACTGCCAAACATTATTGCGCTTTGCTGTTTTATAAAGTCTTCTCTGGCATTTATCTCTTCACACAACATCCGTCCTAAACATGATATGGTTGGGTATTTATATTTAGCCGGACGAACATAAATTCCTACAAAATTTCTTCTGGTTTTACCCGAAAAAATACACGCAGAAAGTTGTGAATAATATAGAGGGTTTTCAGTAACCGACAAGGTTGCTGTAGGTAGTTGCTTGCAAGAATTAAAATGACTATCAGCAACAATGCGAGTTAGTTGGATCGAGGACATACCATCAACCCTGCTTACAAACTTCAAAGTCCTACTTAATACACATATAACAGTTCTTTTTGAAAAGCTCATAGATGTGTAAGGGAAGCATGGATTGGAATACATGAACTAATAAATTGTAAGAGAAAATGTCGATCTATGCTAGAAATCTTTCTTATGGAATGAGTGAAACTAAAGATTTTCTAAGAAGTCAAGAAGTAATGAGACAACCAATAAAGATCTGAAGAGAAACTGGTGACAAGATAGGTAATATTCGATTTATTTCCTACCTCAGTGATTTCGTGGTAGTACACATAGATAAAACAGAGGTGGTGAAGTACCCAACCAACCAACAACAATCACCAGTCACTATCAACAGAATAAAGTTGAAGCAGTTTATTTCCTTCACTTATCTAGGAAGCATCGTTTCAACTACAGGCGAAGACACGGATGAGGATATCAAAAGAAGTATAAGAAAGGCAAGATAGACCTTCACCAAGCTGAAACCAGTTTGGAAATCTTCTGCACTCAGCGTAAAGAACAACATTTGGACTTTAAACACCCATGTTACGTCAGTTACTCGCTTCTTAGTGCGTCGGTGGCACAGTGGTTAGGACTCTCGCCGACCATGCACATGGTCCGGGGTTCGAGCCCACGCCGACGCACACCTGATATCTATGGTCGGCCTGCGAATTTTGGGCTACCGATATCCACGCTGAAAATTCCACACTTGTACCAAAAATACGGTGTGGAATCAAGCTGTAATAAAAAAAAAAATAAAATAAAAAATATATGGGTCGGAAACTTGTCAAGCACATCACGAAAAGCCTTTCCAACAGCTTGTGTCAGAATTTTACCAACAGCCACCTTCACTGGTTTCATATTGAAGATCAAATAGCTAGAAGGAATTAGTAACAAGAAACTATGGGAACCATCTAACCAAGGACCTATTTTTTAACAAAAACTCTAGTGAACATAGAGGTGGATCGAACAGAGATTGAGGAGATCGTCGGGTGACATCACGCGTCAGCCTGTTGCTCGACTGGAGCCCGAATGGGAAACGTTAAGTTAGATGTGTGTCCAAGGTTGACATGGAGAAGATTGCGTAAGGAAGAGATAAGCGACTATGGGAAGTTGCTGGGGCAGCTCAAAAGGATAGTAGAGAATGGGACGAACTAGTAATAGGCTGTGGAAGGCAACAATAATGATAACAACACAATGTCATCAACTAATGACCTACACTGATTATCTTATAAAAGGTAAGAGTGCACAAATAGTCTAAGAATAAAACAGACATGTATGTATGTGTGTATACACTAAGATATAATATAGTGATAGCACACTAATAAGAAATAATTAGACTTTAGTATTCTGTTTAAGAAATTCAGTGTTAACGAATAGTTCTTAATTTTCCATATGAAATTGAATTATCATTCATTATTCATGTGAATTATTAGCCAACAATATCTATGTATAGTACTCATTTAATAAAGAATAATAATCTAATGAAATATGGTTACAGTAATACTACAATTTGTTGTGACTTTAAACACATGAAATGAAAAGCATTCAGCTTAACATTCTTTATACTACTGTTTACATAATAAAATGTCATGCTGATTTGAAAGTGTCAGTTACCAAACCTCTTTCATTTGACTAAACTGTATTCTTCTCAATATTCTAAGTGAGTTGCTTATAGTAAAAGAATTAACAAAAAAGTGAACAACAAAAGTAAAGCTCGTATTAAAATTAAACATGAATTTTAGGATTATAATACTACATATACTTTCAACTCAGGGAGGCAAGAAGTGATATCAGTGGAAAACTCTTCAGTGATTGGCATAAATAACAAGATTCTGGATAGTTCAGAGAATTGGCGTGTCACTGAAAGCATTTTCGACAAGCTGCAGAATTTTATCAGCATCTGCCTATTGATCCATACTGAAAATCTAGATGGTGACAAGGAACTCTGACAACGAATCAACCAAAAACCTATCTATCGTTCAACAAATATGCTGATGGAAATGGACTGTACACACGTAGAAGAGACTGCTGAATAACTTGACGCGCTAGACCCTAGAGTGGAATGTGAAAAGACGATGTGGAGGTATGAGTGGCAAAAAGTTGATCGTATGAGGATGAGATATAGGCTAGTTGAGGAGCCAACTAGAGAGGACTTAAGAGATTAGAATGGAATGGAGATGTGCTGCAGAAGCCTATGCTCCACAGGGGTGTCGAGGGAATAATAAATAATAAATAAATAATATGGAATATGTGATGATTATGAAAGCAGTAAATTGGATAAAAAACATATAGGGAAATTATGTACACCTTATATGAAAATCATCATTCGCTCAGATCATCCTTGTTATGCTACTTCTGTCCTTCTTATTGTGTTTTATTGTCTTCCTTTGGTGTCTCACATTTTGCCTCAATACTGGTTTATTTTTTGTCTGTGTCGTCAAATCTATTTCTCCGCTATTTGCTACTTTTGTGCTGATGAACGTATTTTTATATTATTATTATTGTTCCCTTGGGTTCCCAGTGGAACATAGGGCTTCAGCTGCAAGTCACCACTTGCTTCTGCTGTACTTTTCACCTGCATCCATGTTAGTCCATACTCTTTCAACTCCTCTTCACACAATCCCCTCCATGTCACCTTTGCACTGACGTCCCACTCGCCGCTTCCCTTTCGGGCTCCACTCGAGCGATGGCCTGACGCGCGCACGATGTCAGTCAGAGGCCTTCTCAGAAAGTGTCCAATCCATCTCCACTTTCTCTTGCATATTTGTTGGTTGGCGGTTGGTTCTTGTTTTTTTGTTCCCATAGTTTCTTGTTGGTGATTCTTTCCGGCCCGGCCATCTAATCTTCAGTATAGAGCGATAGTTGACAGTTGTTGGTTGATAAAGGTCTGCAACTGGCTGTTGGAAATATTCTTTGTGACCCGCCAAGCGCCAAGTTTCTGATCCGTATAGAAGAACTGACTGACTTGACGTTTGTATTGAAAATCCGATCGAATTTGGTTGTTGATGCTGAGTGACGAAGATTTCCAGATTGGTTTCAGGTTGATGAATGTGTTTCTGACTTTCCCGATTCTCGATTCGACATCGTCGTCCGTTCCTCCTGTAGTTGAGACAATGCTCTTTAGACAAGTGAATGAAGTAACCTCTTTCAAATCCCTCCCATTGATGGTGATTGGTTGGATGTTGCTGTTGTTGTAGCATGCACCACACTATCAGATGATTTCATGTTCATCGAAGGATATTCAGTTACATGAAACAGTGAGAAACCACAACAAAACTGTGACTATGGACAACACGTTTATTATATTAACAAACAGATTAGAAGCAGTAGTGAGTATATAAAGTTAGCATTTGTTTACAAAACAACTTTAAATTCGTAATGTCATTCCATGCCTCTGATGGCATACACAAATAAAGTGATATTTTTTGATGTAGAATATTATGGATGAGATTTGTCATCAGGAGACTTATCTTTCCAGAATATTCACGTGGAAACAACCAAAAATCTGCTTCTTAATCTTATACCAATTCATCTGTAAATGTATTGCAACGGATCAACATTTATTTGTTTATTAGATATGTTACTACACAATGAAATAGTATCATTTACTGGATGACAACATTTCGAACACAGCTTATTGCTCATAGTCATATCAATAATTGTAACTACACAACTTCGAATCTCGATTTTCATAGTTCTTTTTCTTCCTTTCTCAATTGTAGTAGTAAAATTTTCCAGATACACAGAGGTTGAACAGGTATTGAATCATTCCTACTGCATGTATTCTCAGTTGATTCGATAAATAAAGTTTCACTTAGCAGTTTCCCACCTCCCTACCACCCAGTTATCTTAGATTTTAAGATTACCATCTTGTCCTATTCTACTGCATAAATGTGCATAACTGCATATAATGCTATAGCTGAAGTATTTTCTAGATTTCTAACCTGACCCAGATAGATTTTGCTAGGCCCAATACTTCGGCCTATGTATGTGACCTGGACAGTCTTTGCAGGGTATTAGATTAACTAAATTATTTTGCCTAATCGGCGCCAAAGCAACCCTTAATCCACATAATTTGTCTCCAAGTGAGTTTGTAGATTTGAATGACACTTTTATTCCTGCTTTGTTAAGTATCCCACGTAAGGGTTCAGGGTATCTCTATATGCACTGCACTAATACTGATGTTTTGAATCTCGTATTCTTGATATTATTGGCATCTGAGTATATTTGTCATTCATATTGTTCTAATTTAGTAAATATTATGTCTTGTTCAGTTTATGTCCTACCTCGTGCCGTAAATTCTCTTAGGTACTATTTAGTTACCTTGCCCTACAACTGAAACATTTCATGAAATCCTATTTTGTGCATAAATATGCATAGTGTGTCCAACACTATTCATTTTTAAAGCTTTTACCTACACTGTAAATTTAACTGCTTTGATATTTAACTATGCGAACTTTAACACTGGTCACAAACTGCAGCGTTAGTTAAAGAGAGAACCATTGAAAATCAAGGACGACTAGACGGCTGTTTTGTCCTTGTTTCGGAAGGAGTCTCCAGAATTACACACCCATAACCCATAACTACCAAGTTTCTAACCTAGGACCTTCAACCTACAAAATGAACTCGTCGGTCATTCAGTCACTGAGACAGAATCCAATGGTCCATCAACAATTGTCTCGGTAAAAATAAACTAAATAGGCAAGTTGTATGGATTATTATTGTAAAATACAGACACACACAAACAGAGAGACACAACGGTCGAGATAATTTAAGAAGTAGGGGATATAATATAAATATAGCAAGTTAGCAAACTGAATGAATTACAAGTATCCAAAACAGGGAAATATAAAAGATTCAAATCATGCGCGTATATATATATATATATGTACAGAGAGAGAGAGAGAGAAAGCAAGGCTTTTGCCAGCCAGGGACTGCATACAATGTCTGTAATGAATTCAACAATATTTTCAAACGGAATTTCGAAAGAAAAAACAAGAAGATAAAGTGAAAAGTTGGCGCAATTTGAAATCAACTAATGAAAAAGCATATGAAAAAAAAACACAACACAGTAGAAAACAATAGAAAATACACTGGATACGTAAGAATTTCAAATGGAATTCATCAATAATAGTGGTGCATAATGACAGTTATCCTCAAATACACGCTTTGCAATTGTTATTATCAAAGAAAGCTTATATATATATAGTCTCATTTATAATCTGTTTTGTTGGCTTAAATTATTCTATCCTCAATCTGAATAATGTTAAACAATAATCGCCTTATTCATAAAATGAATCTAAGTAGAACGAGAACAGTATATATACAAGGTACACGTACTGACAAAATTTTTGTTTATGTACATTCGGTTCAATGTGTTCAATAAACATAATAAAAAAAGGGATGAGCTTTATTACATACATACAGTAGTCATATAAAGGTGTATATTTACAAGAACACTTGATGCAGCATTGAAGACGATTTTTAGTCCCTAATTTTATATGTATCTTAAATAAGTTAAGGCAATGATCACATACAACTGTAGAACAGAATAGAAAGTAGGGATTTGTATGTAGGTTTCTATGCGTGTAAACATATAATGTCTACCTATACTTCATGAAAAGAACAAAAGAAGTAGTGTTCAGTGACGATGATGGGTCTTATCGACGTGAATTCATTTTCCTCTTTACCTGCACAATTGCAAAGAGGATAGTAACATAACTGACGAATTGTCATCATCATAGTTGTTAATTGAAGAAGTTGAATAAGGACATTTACAGTTACATAAGAGGATAAATAATTCAATAAACACGAGTTATAATCAGAATGTAAATAAAGACAAAGAAAGGCTAAATTAGATATAAGCCAAGAAAATATTTATTTTTATAAACTTCTCTCTTTGTGTACCAATAGCACAGGGATAAAGATAGATGATAATCTGGTCTCGTATGGGTTATTGTCTTTATATATATATTAAAGCATAACAATAGCAAATGAATACCTCTAAATTCCCAAAGGAAAGTACTCCAATAAAAATGATTTAGATGAAAATAAATAAAAAATAAAATAAAAAAACAATATATTATTTGTAGGGTATAATAACGATATTAATAGTAATAATGATGATCACAACTTTATTCTGAACAAAAGTGTTTACACAGTGTACAGTATCCTCAGTGTAACTTAATTGCATAATGCATCTTATCTTCATCTAGGATCTTCGAGTAGAACAGCCATATATAGTATATCATCAAGTGACGCGCAATTCTGTTCCATCTGAATAGAGCATAACGCCCCCCTCACTTTCGAGAAATGCGCATAATAGTAGGTTGAAAAAAGCAAAACAAGTTGGATGATTGAATGGGATTAAAAAAAGGATTAAGAAATAGAGAAAATTCGAGGATGGAAATTTTGAGTAGCTCATTGATTTGACCAAGAAAAATAAAGAAAAAAAACTGTTTAAAACTCTTCGACATGACTGACCGGGAAACGACCCTTTGTACCATTCACTTCACCGAACCACCAATCTGGACTATCTTTACGATAAATACTGACAATGTCACCTGAATATAATGGGGGAAAAAAGAAGTTAAAAAATAACAGTGAGCAGAAATATCAAAATATTTATGTAGACTATTTTTTAAGAAAGATAACTTGTTTAGGCAGGCAGCCATAGAGCGGAACGGTCGAGGTGGTCAGAGATGGCAGACAGAAAGACCTTTATCAGTTTGAAATCACTATGATAATCTGTCTAAATAATGTTAAGTTAGACTCCCATATGGTCCAGAGACTAGTCGCATCACTAAGAGCATTTCAGACAGATTGTTGTAGACCTACCGAAGTTCAGATGGCTGGTTGGAAAGGATAAGCAATAAGGAACTCTGGCAGCGGACTAACCAAGAACATGTTGCTCAACAAATATGCTAACGTAACTGGAGACGGATGGGAAACAAGCTGAAAAGACCGTGGAGTGAAATCATGCAGCTCCACTCTCATTGGGATGGACCGAAAAGAGAAACGACAAGTTCAGCCTGGGAGTTTGATATATAGAAGATTGTATGAGGTAAGGAGGAAATCTTATGGGTAATTATACAGCCAGCTAAAAAGCACTACATAAAACAGAGTAAAGCGGAGATGTACTGTTGAAGCCCTATTCCATTAGAAACCCAAGGGAATAATAACATTAAATCTTATTTTAAATTACAATGTAGTAAAATAAAGTAAATTGAGGCCATGACAGATGTAAAGTTTCGTATAAAATAAATGGAAGACAAAATTCAATGACATCTACCTGGGTGTATACAAAACAATGAAAAATATCATGTGTTACAGCTACTCATTGAATGAATCATTCACAGTTTTTACAGTAATACAATATAAGTAGGTAAACTTTTGACCTTCAAGTGTTGTTTTGCAGAGATTTTATTGATTTCAGGTTAGAACATGAATAGATTTCTGTTAGATGAAAATATTGTAAACCAGGGTGTACTGGACAACTGCTTTGTTCCAGTTGTCGGAACTATTTAGCGGTACACATCACCCATGACCCTACACAACAGGTATCGAACACAGGAATTTCAGGTTGTGAGATGAATCCACTGACCATCCCCGCCAATGGGATGGTATCCAATACTCGATGAATTCTAACTTCTGCAGATTTGCGGTGTATATGGCAAAACTGTCATCCAAAGTCAATACCCTTCGAAATCGATCGTAGAATTTCAAAAAAATAACCGTTAGCATCGCATAGACATTGTGTTACAGTTTACTACTTTTATAGTTGATTAACATTTGTCTGTGGTTTGAAAAACTAAAACCTCAACCGACAAATAAATCGCAAGTCATTAGGTATTCACTCTCCGATTGATGAACTGTCCAAGAAGTCAATGCAACGGATTGTTAGTAAATTCATAGACGAAAAATTTAAAGCATAGTTGTAGCTACATGTTTTCGGACGTTTAAAAATTCCACCTTTATTATTGATTTAATGTTATTTCCCTGCAAGAGTGTAAATGGTCAGGAGAACATTTTATGCCTATAGAAGTGTCTGGGCGACTGCCTACATCACACAAGTTGATTTCTTTTTGGAGTACCTGAAACAGGAGGATCAGTATTACGTGATCGTAGAGTCCAGAGGATAACTGCTTGAAACCTGTCCCACACTATCTTTTCGCAGTGGATTTCATAATTGAATTAGTATTAAAATCTTACCTCTGACTACGAACTGCTGCAACGTAAGTGAGGATGAACAAATTTCCGAGTCGGCCTTTTCTAACTCACCCTTCTCAGAGCACACAAGCAGTATAGCTAGCTTGCTAGTCGCCTGAGGAGAGCATCCTATTGCTATTAAATATCTACTTACTAGCAATATGACTTCACCTTCGAACCCGCAATATAATGTAAACGGCTTACGCAAGAAACGTAATCGCTTTAAGTGTAACCATTATCCTAGCATGGTAGGATCTGCAGGGGTATTAGTCTCATTCTGTGTAGCTCGTTGAGTCATTTCTATAATCAAGCTTGGTCGCCACGCCAAAGTGGCAGCTATCGGTCAGGGTCAAAAAAGGTATCAAAGTTGCATTAATAATATTCATACGACTACAAAGCAACCCATATATACACAACATAGGTTACTAAACCAAGAGAGAAAGATATTAATACCAAGCAGATGGAGGCTTGGAAATTAGAATATGAATACTATTTTGTGTAACATTTAATATTTGCTGAAATGATTTTAGGCATTCATAACTTAAATGGTTTTCCAATGAGCAAAATGCTGATATGGAACTTTTAGTTCACAACTTTGAATTTTTTCTCATTTTATCTGTTTTTTGCTCTTATACTTCTCGTAAGAAAGAAAATACAATTTCTACATGATGACATACAGGGTGTTGAGTCAGTCGCATATCGTATACACAAGAAGAAAAGTAAACAAATAATTCCATAATGATAATGGGGAGTGGGGACCAGTGAGGTGCACCAGATCAGGTGTGACAAAAATACTCGCTGATGACACTAATTGATAGTGGAACCACATATAGTGAATTGATAGCAGTTGAAATTTATGGGCCAGCTGATGGGTTCCGTTTTAGGAGCACACCACGCAACTGGTAGGTCGTGGCTGAGTACTGATGAAGAGTCACGAAGTGGGCCGAAACATTTATCAAGTGCTGTCTGGTTTACAAATCCGATACCAAAATTTAAACTAATGCAATCCATACAAACTAACATCTTAGTATACAAATAGATTAATTAGTGGAATGTTATGTTATGACAAGAATTGAACTGGTGATCATGAGCGTGAGTTGCAGTCACTACATTTAAACTACATCAGTATATCGAAGTGTTCTACACACAATGGTTAATACCACAATGACTCTTACCTTCTTGTAAACAAATCTCTGTCGACTGACGAGGAGTATAATTCTGTTGTACTTTTGCCCAACCTAAACACTTGAAATTAGCTGAAGACCAATTTTCATAGTCCATATCGCAGCTATCGTTAACGCGAACACCTTCATCCTTTTTAATGACATCAGTGTGAAAATGAACTGATTTACGTGAAGGACTAGGTCGAATATCCATTGAACTACTACTATTACCAGAATCTGTAGAGGAACTATTTGGAATGTTTGCAAATCGTAAACTTGATGGTCCTGAAATATCCGATTTAATAATCGTTTTCTTCTTTATTGTATTATTACAATGTATAATATTACTGTTGGTATTACTCTTATCCAACTTAAGCGAATTATAACTGGGTTGATTAGAGGAAGATTGTTGTTGGCTAAGCGTCGTCCCACGTGATCCATAGCCAAAACGAGACCAAAAATTACTTGTCTATGGAAAACATGACAAGAAAGACAAAAATATTATGCACTAAAATGTTTGTCCGATGAATACTGATTAAATCCTTATGTAAACATGCACATATAGATATATATGTGGAATTTTCAAAAAGACGACCAAAATATTTCATACGTGTCATTAAAAATTAGCATAATTTCGCAGTGGTTAACAATTACCATATTTCAGAATTAAATATACGAAATGCTTATATCACATACATTTCTCTCATGAGTAATTTTTATGTATATAATATTACAACTAAAACAAAAATTTGGTACATTATAGGCACCGAGAAATGTGCTACACAAAATCTCATAGTTTCTCAGAGGACTGGAATACTTCCCTGACACCAAGATCGAAGCGGGTGATTGTTTAAAGAGGCCACCTCGCCACGAAGCCTTTAACCTGAAGTCTAATGCACAAAGCGCATTGTAACACTGTCAGTAGCTACATTACCATAGCTATCAGTGAGCAAAACAGGTTCAAACGCCATTCTATCATTTCTGACTTTGGAGCCTATATACACCATAAGTTTGGAATCCCGGTTTGCCAGCTCCCCTAAACAGATCAACATATCTATCAGTCCGGTTATAAGTGCCAGATGTCCACATTCGCCTTTTTACTTTTGTAAGGGAAAACCTGTAGCATGAAGGCAGTAAATAGGTCTTACATGCAAGAGAATTTTTATTGCGTCAAATATGTAATCTTCTTCCACTTTTATTCATCTGGATTCATGAACATAGCATACGTGAGGCATAACCAACTGCAGACTGAGGAATTTACTTGAAATTGATTTCTCAAGCTAATAAGGAGAAGGCGCGACTATTGAGGTAAACTAAATGCAATGTAATGAATGCACTGTATCAAGAATTAACAGGTACTGAAAAATATCATTAGTTGGGTTCCACAACCAAACGCCTAAATGATTGTTGACGTGTTCGCTGCAAAAACTAGTCCAAATAGGTCCAGTGTCATACGACGACATCGATACGTACCGTAAAGTCTATCTGTTAATTCTTAGTTTTCAGATGTCAACAAGTAGGGTAATTCAGACGGCATTTGGTATCCACAAACATTATCTCTGTAAATAGATGCTACTATAACGAGAAGTGTTATATTATCCTTCTTGTACATAGCTTCATGTACCAAGACCAAAGAGTAGCTACATAATACAACAACTGAAATTGTTGATTATATGTCTATGAACGCTTAGGGCATTGGAGTTTCAGTAGGGCTTATGTTATTATTACGGGTGTGGTGAGAGCTGGCTGTTAGTCAAAATTGGTGGACGGTAATTTACGTTTTATTTCGTCATTTAGGTCTTTTCTTGTGCTACTTAGTGCTATTGCTCGGTTTGTTAGACACCTAACTAAGCCTGCCTTAATAGGCAACGGAAGAGATGAATTAAAGTCTAAATATCTACTAGAATGCGTTGGTTTTTGAAAAAAGCTAGTGTGCAGTATGCCTTTTTCTATTCGTTTTATTTTAGAATCTAACATAACTAATTCTCCTTGTTCATTTTCCGATTCAAATGTGAATTTTCTCCCCTTTACTAGTGTGTTTATATATGTCAAGAAGCCAGAGATATGTTCTGTGTTTAGCACTGTGATGGAAAGTGTCATCCACATATCTCCACCATACCTTTTGAATAGGATTAAATGTATTAAAAGCAATATTTTATTAGGTGAGATTTCAATATAGCCGAAAAATTCCCATTTAAATATTGAGAAGAACAAAAAGAGAATATTCCTTTTGCCTCATCCATGTGCATTCAGTGGTTTGAGTATTTTTTTTATGGATCTATTTACATCGGGCGTACAATTAGGCACTATCAATCACCAGATTCCTGAATGTCATCCTCCGAGGTTAAGTAAAGAAAATACAGCGTCTATTCTTAGTTCTATTATACCTTATCTTGTAGATACTGAAAATAAAGTTGGATGTTAACGAAGCTTTTAAAGTTTTCTATCATATTCCGACTAATCTCAATTTTGCTATTGGAATCCACCTTTAGGAAGCCTAACTTGAAGCCATCATTGTTTTCAGCTATCTCTGTTTGTCGCATACGTTTTCTTCTTAATTCTAACTGATATTCAATTCACTGTTATGTTTTTTGTGCATATTATCACACATGCGCTTTTGCACAGTAATTTTTTCAACTTTAACAACTCATTGTTGTCTAAAAAGCCTTAATACTGTCGATAACAATTACACTTTAAATATGGTATGACATACATAACTATTGCAGGAAAGATGGGGAGGTTATCGAGAAAAGGAATTTTCACTCAACCTCTCTTTTCTGTCTCCTAGATTACTAGGTATTCTACAATAGCATAGTTGACGTTAGGCCACGAATATCAGATTTAATATATATTTCATGTCTGCAACTAGTCGTTAGGCAAGACTAAGACTTTTAAATGACTCCGTTAAACGATTTGAAAACATAAACCGCTTCAATACAAACACTTCATTATTTCTGCCAATAGAAGAAAAGCACAAAACTATGATATTATAACTTACAGTTAAGTTTTCTTTAGACACTTTGCTGTTCACCGTAGTAGTAGCAGTAGTAGTCGACGGCGAACGAGTGATTGAAGCGGTTGAAATAGACGAGACAGAACTAATCACAGAGTCAGCTGCCTCAATTTCATCTACTCCTAGTGTTGGTGTTTTTATAATTGGCTTTCTTGACCCACTAAGGGAATCCTTTGAAAAATGAGTAGTAGTAGTATTCTTAGCCTCAGTAGTAGTGATAGCAGTAGAGATACTGGAAGTAGGGTTTATTGGTTTCCCTTCAGCTGTAGACAAATCTGCTGATTTGTCATTTGAAATAACTTGTTTAGAGGATTGATTTGAAGGTGTATACTGACTTCCGTGTAGTGACTCACTAGTACTAGTATTACTAATACGCAATGTGCCCTTAGTATCAATGGATTTCTTCACTTCTGGAATCGCTGAACGTGAAGCACTTGCATCCCGTGTATCTTTGGATGATTTAACTAGATTTTTGGTGAAAGTGGACTGATTGTTTGAGAATTCTTTACCTGAAGATGGTTGATTGTTATCATCGGCTAATTTTTCAATATGTCCATTAACAGACAATTTCGAATTTGTATAATTCGATGTGGTTTCATGATGAGTTTCTAGACTACTGTCATTGTTGATGGTATTCTCTAACATCCAATATGAGTTTTGTGTATCCAGGTATTCACGAATATTTTCAATATCCCGTTGGAAAACACTATCAGTAAGGTCTTCATTTACAATGTCGTTAACTGGGAATGGTGGCCATTCTGTAGATGATAAAACGATAAAAATGCAGCTTAATAAGTAGTATATTATTGAAAAAAACTTGATAATCGAAAACACGACAATTAAGACGTATAATATGATTGTGTCTGTCGTATGTTTTGTTAGTATTCCATTAAAGATAAGATTTTATTTTGATAAATCGCACAGTGTTTACAGTTATATGAACTGATGACGTTTCGAGCACAAACTATTGCTCATAATCATATCAAGTTGGTATCCTTGTGAATTTTCGTTGCCAGATTTGCCAAGGAAGATGGCATAGTATGCAACCTAATGATAGTGTGAAAGGTTAGAAGAAGGTTGTATGCACTCTGCCCTGGAAATGATTGAGTAACACTCCAGCCACGCACGTGGGTGCTGGGGTTCATTTCGCGGTCGAAGCACTTCCAAACCTCATCTAGCCAGTAGTAGGCCAGGAAGAAAGGAGGGTTGGGCGTGAGGCTACCAACGTTCCACAATGGCTACTGAAACTCCAGAGCTTAAAACTTAGAGCCATGTATTCCACTAGAAACGCAAAAAGGTGAAGGGATCTGACTGTGCAGTGTATCATCTTAAGGACTCTGAGTAATTACCATAATACAGTCCTGCAGAGAAGGACGATATAGTCATAGTAACCTGTCGAATAAAAATCCAACTGTTAATATCTTTCAGCGCTACCAACAGGCTTTATAAGTTCACCAAAGTAGTCGCTTCATAATATAAACTAAGTCTGAAGCAGATTTTAACGCTGTATGCTTTCTAGCAGTCTTCGATAGCATAGTGCATAATACGTAATAAAATCAAACGTGATTATCTAACTGTTTTAAACATCTTACACCTAATGATGGTCCAAAGGATTCTGAAGAAAGAAGACCATTCATACAGTTAGAAAATTATTTAAACTCTCATAACCACTCTGTTAAAAATTGAACTAGTACAATGTGTGCATAATAAACTAATCTTTACAGGTAGTTTGAGCATTTCTTTTTAAACCTAGAGGTTGGTGGGTTATGTCATTTATCTTCATATCACTAATTAAAGGTAAAAAGAGTAACAGATGATGTTTAAATATGGGATTATGAAAGCAAGACAAGCGTTCGTTTCGTTGAAATCAGGGCGGAGATCTACAGCATTCAGTACAAGGAATAGTTCTACACCGTTCAGAGGCTTGACACATCACCGAAGACATTTAGAACAGGCTAATGGAGACTTTCGCTTAATACTGAAGATCAGATACCCCGATAGAAAGGATAAGCAACAAGTAACTGTGACATACTGGAAAACAGAAAGAAATGGAGATGGACTTAACATACATTGAGGAAAACACTGAGTGACATAACGTAGCAAGCAGACCCTCAGATGGAGCCTGAATGGGAAACAACGACTTCAACGTACAAGGGTGACAGGAAGGAGATCGTGTGAGTGGGAGATAACCTCTTATGAGCAGTCGTACAGTTTGGTGAAAGAAAACATTAGGGAAAGGGACTGAATAGGAATGTGCTATTGAAGCTCTAAGTTCCACTTGAAACCTAAGAGAATAATAATATGACAATAATAATAATATGTCTGAAGAAAAAGTTGGATTTCTCCTGTTAAGCTTACCGATTAAATTTCCTCCATGACTAGGCAATATGTCCAAATCGGGTAGATACACCCAACGAGATGTAATCAAATAGGACTTTTTACTGTGGTCCATAGAACTGTTAATAATCCCAGTATTGTTATTGCTTTGCTCAGGTGATATATGTGAATCTAGAACTAATTTTGAGAAGCCAGCTTGACTTAAACACAAAGGTAATTCGATATCTGTTGATGTTAGTGAATTACATGTTGAATTACTGTCACCCATAGTTTCTAATGCATGCAGTTGTTTTAAATTATGCGCCACTTTTTGACGACAACATGTAAGATAAGTGAGACGTACTCGAGAGAAGTATAAACGACGACGTGCTTCCATAAGTGTATTCATATCTGTATAGGCTGGTTGATGGGCGTATACTTGAACTAGATTTGTTAACCCTGTATGATGAAAACACATAGTTGAGATTGAGACAAAGTATCAGTGAACATAATAAAACAAATAAATAAAAATATATGTATCTCAAGTTGGATCACAGACCGACATCAGTTAGAGGATCACTGAAAACTGAGGAGTACTGCTAAACAGTTGTTTCGCCCTAGTTTGGGACCAGTTGTGTCCACTGGATTCGAAGAGAGGGACAATTACTCGCTGATGAAACTGATTGACGATGACCCGGTAGTTGGAATTCATGGAATATCGAATTCTGTCTCAGTGGCTAAATGATCAATGGACTAGCTTCACAACCTTCAGGTCATCGATTCGATCTCCAAAGGTGGGGTACAAGTAAAGAATCCAAATCTAGGAAGAGGGAAGTGTCTAGTATTCTCTATTTTTCAATGGTTCCTTAACTGACATCAATCCATGATCTAACTTGAAACCAATTAGATCCGTGCAAAATGATAGATGAAACAATTAACTCAGTAACTGTTGGCACATTTATAGAGTATTGTGTCAGTCACACCCATGCCTCCAGTTCGGATGACTCAATCAGTTTGCTCAAACCAGCGCAGTTGATATAAAATTATACAACTACACAATAACTAAAAGACTGTCTCAACTATAACCATTTGAGAATGTTAATCTTAGCACTGTGAACTGGTATTTGGAGGCGGAAGGTAGAATTGCAATCAACAACCTGTGTAACAGTATCAAATGTTGGCAGTGACCGCAAAGTTAGACACATCTAATAAATCTTACTACCATAGAACAATCCTTCTTAAAAACACAGTAAGAATAAGTTTTAGTTTTAAAAGTGCAATACATTATTATAAAAAACAGTAGCGTGAATAACTTAAATTATTATCGACATCGAATAAATGAATAGCAAGTAAAGAGACAGTATGAATATTAAACGATGATGCATGGTTACATATGTATGACATAAAAAGTAAGAGAGTCCATTTCATCCGTGAAATAATTTAGAAACTACTTCAATACCATAGCATGCAGTGCACAACCCTTTATCAACCTCATTGAACAGATATATGACATTGCGACGTTTCAGATGATACACCACGGAAAACTCAGTGAGGCATTCGGAGTGAATACAGGAGTAAGACAAGGCTGCCTGTCTAAATGTGATGGATAGACTGTGGGTGCGAGAAGACTTAAATCCAATAAGAAGACTCTAGAAGTCCTGTACTTCTCGAATGATTTGTGTCTAATTTCATACAGACTCGAAGACTTGTTGGCAAATACCAAAAAACTGGTTGAAGAAGCAGGAAAGACAAGACTTCAGATGTACATGGAGAAGATGGGTATGATGAACATAACCAGAGAACAACAACAGGTACTAACAACCTAGAGCACTATCAACGGAATAGAGTTCATTTATCTAGGAAGCATCATCTCAACCACAGGTGACGGCACGGGTGTGGATGTCAAAACCAGAATAGGAAAGGCGAGACAGACATTCATCAAGCTGAAGGCAGTTTGGAAATCTTCTTCGCTCTGCAGTATAAAGAAAAAGATTCGGATTTTCAACGCTAACGCCTAATTACTCAGTTCTTCTAAACGCGTCAGAAACTTAACGTTCACATCACCAAAAGCATTTACCAATGTATGTTACAGACTTTTATCAATAGCTGCCTTCAATGGTTCCATATTGAAGACCGAATGGCCAGAAAGAATTAGCAACAAGAAACTATGGAGACAAACTAACCAAGAACGTAGTGCTCAATAAATATTCCAATAGACATGGAGATGGATCGAAGCGATATTGAAAACACGGTTGGGTGACACAGCGTGCCATGCCGTCACTCGAGTGGAGCCTGAATGGGAAACGACGAATGAGTCGTCAGTGCGAGAGTGACAAGAAGCAGATCATGGAAGGAGGAAATGAAAGACTATGGGCAGTCATGGGCACAAGTGAGAACAAAGTAGGGATGTGATGTTGAAGCCCTATGTTCCACTTGGAACCCAAGAGAGTAATAATAATACCACCATTCGATCGCTTTAGTCAGATATCTTATATCTCAAAACTTTAATTCTCCATAGTAACCCAGTATACCACCAGTTTGACAACATGAAGACCAGAATAATAGGCATGTAAATATTACATTCCGAATACCTCTAACTTATATTGATGACATGTATTCGCTAACTATTCGGGGCTTAGGTAGGAGGAAGCTTGAAGGTGAATAGTTGGTGAAGTAAAGTAGTGAGATGGAAGACTATTCTATTCCGTAGGCAACTGGTGTTGGACGGTAACCTTTCGGACGGAGATTGAACACACATAGCTAAAGTCAAAATGGAAACTTATCGCCTATTTACTTTGCCTACAGAATCTAACTTTATTGGAAGTGATTTAAGAATAGCTAGGGATATTTTAAATGTAGCATATCCAACTGTCATTTTATTTACAATTATTATCATGATTATTATTAGATCGGTTTAAACAGCTATGGTGAAGTATGCATAACAAGACAGAGTTATGCAATGTTGTACGAACCTTTTTAGTAACAACAACTTTTAAAAATTTAATTTGTGAGAAAGAATGATCTTTATTCAAAATATTATATAGCTGTGTGAGATTAAGTAACTTGTCAAAGCATTCCAAGTCACAGGACAGAACAACTATTCACAGTATTGCTGAGTGTCTTACAGATTATCACAGTTCATGTATAAATCTGATTTAGAATCTCCTTTCATCCACTAAGAAATAATTATTTGATGCATAAGCCATTGAAAATAGTCAATCCAAACTACTAGAAACTGACACTGACGATGTATAACTTTTCTACCTAAACCCACAGGATATTTGATAGTTTAATATTAAAATAGTTGGAATATATGACTATAACAGTAATAAAATATATACATTTATGCGTAAATATGATTTCGAAATTCTATATCATTTCAACTGAGTTTAGAATTCTATGAGCTACATTCCATTTCATGTAATGACGGAAAAATAGTGTAGTTGATGGATGAAATTATTGGTGAAATTATCACACTATGTGCAATTTACACTAAACCAGTTTAATTTGGTCAATAACTGATTTCAGACAAATTTAGACATTTAAGGAGCTATACCTTCAACTCTAGCTTGTATGCTTCGTTTTCGATTACATATAGCTTTCACAATCTCACTTAAGGTTGGGAGGACAATTTGTACACTGCATTCTAGTAGGAGTTAGATAGAAGGTAGTTATAGTGCAGCTATAGATCACCTGAGCATGTTCTATTTCTCACGGAGATCATTTCACTTAACATATCTGTTATACAGCCCATTCCGCTAATGAGTGTAAATAATTGATAACCACTACCTATTGCTGATAATATTCAAGTGTTTGTTTGCAGGGATTTGATTAGTTACAGGATTTCGTCATGAGCTGACATTATTTAGAGAACCACTGAATAACATAGGGGTATTAGTGAGATGTTTCGTCCTAGTTTGAGACTCTTCGTCAATACTCAGCCACTGGGGTTCAAACACAGGACATTCTGGTTACAAGGCAAACCCGTAGACCACTAAGCCACTGGGACCCGACCCAATTGCCCATGAATTCCAACTACTGCCAATTCACGATGTAACGCGACTACTAGCCAATGTCATTAGCGAGTATTTCTCCTCACACCTAACCTGCTGATGACTTTTCCATTTCCCACCTTCCACGAATGTTTGTTATTGCTGATAAGATTAGTCATTTATCATATCAGAAGCTTGCATTCGTCGCCATATGCTGAAACTGATCAGAATCCTCTCGGCACCAATCTCCTTGTAAATATCCATTCAGATGAAACTGCAGAAACCGCCACGCAATCACTAGCCTTCATCATTGCTTCTAGAACAGAATGAGTATGATACCAGGCTACCTCGAAATCAGTATTACTGTCATGTGTTTAGTTATCTCACTTGAAAATAAAGACTTCATGTTTGCATCAAAAAGGTGGACATGTAAGAGCATTGCAAATGTCTACCCTTTGAGTTCATTTAACCACATGCATACACTTGCACAGATTATTGAATGATTATAGTTCAAATAGATGTTCTAGAAGGAACATCAATCAATCGGCAAGCCTCTTTATCAATAATTTAACACTAAGTGTATTTATGTTCATTTTTGACTTGATATTGAACGGCACCCCAGATGATGCGCGATGTTTCCTCTCATGTTTGAGACCACCGCCAATCGAGAACAAACGATTGCAAAATACGTTTACGGTTATCTCTTCTTCGGCATGAGACTCTACATTATGCTTTTTGGACTATGATCAAATGTTATATAAGTAATCGCAAAAGTGTAGTTAAATTGAAACGTGAATAAATCATCATAAAACAATGTTCATTTACCTTTGATGTTACACTAGGATCAGACTACACTTTTAAGTGCTCATCTAGTGAACGCTAGGAAGTAAATTTCAATACAATACAGAATTTCAAGAGTTGATTTGTACGGGTCTGTCCACCGACTGATATTGGTTAGAGAACCACTGAAAATCAGGGGGTACGCGACAGCTATTCCTTCCTAGCTTCGTACACTTCACCAGTACGCCCTCATGAACCAACCCACCAGTAGTCGAATCTAGTACCTTCAGGTTATACAGAACTTGCTGATTAACCATTTAGCTGCTGGGATGGAATCTAATGGCCCATGAATTCTAACTTCGATCTTCCGTGGATTCACGGGTACCAAACTGGTGAAGAGTACCAAACTAGGACGAAACAGTTCTCCACTACTACGTGTTCTTTTTTCAGTTGTTCTCCAACTGATATCAATCCCTGATCACACATAAAAATATATTTCAACTACTTGTTTAGGTATAACTACGATATGAAGGTTTTCATAAGGCACTTGATTCAATTATCGAGAGAAACGAACACTGATGTAAAATAACTTACCCTTTTTAGTACGACGTTCTTTTTCAACATCTTTAGCCAACAAATCAAGTAGATGTAACATTGACTGTTTTGTTAAATAATGTTGAATTATTAAACGTAAACTAGCAGATGGTATTGGTGATAATGGCAATGATAATTTTGTTGTCGACTGTAAACCAGCAGAAGTTGAGGATGTACCTTCTTTAACTGGTAATAAAAAACGTAGTTCAAATAACTCAATTATGTGACAGAAAGAAACAGATCTTTTACGTGCACGTATATATATATATATATCGGAAAAAATGGAAAGTACCTAGGTCACAATGATGTAATAAATGTAAGAGTAACATTTGGGCATTGTATAGTAGAAAAACAATTTCCTATTCAACAAGTTTATCTGATATAGCTTGTGTCGATGGTCCAGTGGTATAATGCTCGCTAGAGAGGCATGTGTTCCGGGTTCGATTCCCAGCTGACACACTCCAGCAATTCACTTTCCATTTACTAGCCAGTGGTTACTCCTTTACCTACCTGGGAAGCATCGTTTCAACTACAGGCGGAACTGACGAGGATATCAGAGCAAGAATCGGAAAAGCAAGACAAACTTTCATTACTCTCAAGTCTGTGTGGAGGTCAACAGCACTCGGCGTGAAGAATAAGATCCGGATTTCCAACTCCAATGTGAAATCAGTGCTACTCACAAGACGGATCAGAGGCTTGCATTGCGCGTCATAAAGACCATCTCAAACAAACTTCAGACCTTCATTAACAGTAGTCTTCGCTCAATACTGAAGATCAGATGGCTGGCCAGAAAAGATCAGCAACAGAGATCTCTGGCAATGAACGAACCAACCAGGAACCGATTGTTCAAGAAATATGTAGGAATAAATGGAAATGGATTGGCCATACTCTGAGGAAACCATCAAGTGACATCACTAGACAAGCCATTGCTCGAGTGGAACCCGAAAGGGAAGCGGCGAGTTGGTCGTCAGTGTGAGGGTGACATGGAGGAGGTCATGTGAAGAGGAGATGAAAGTATGTGGGCAGACTTGGCAGAAAACCGAAGGCAATGGAGACGCGCGGCTGAAGCCCTATGTTCCTCTGGGAATTAAAGGAAATAATAATAGTTACTCCCGGAAAAGGGGGAAAGGTCTGGCATGTGAAGCTAACAATATCACGCCGTACAAAAACAGCATCAAAACTACTGAAACTGCAGAGCTTGAAGCTCTATATTCCACTTGCAATACAAAGGAATGAAATAAAGAATCTGATATAATACATAGTGCGGTACAGTAGTGATGAGTAGATAACATTTCGAGTACAATTTCTTGCCGTTCACAATCAAATTGTGGTGGTGTGATACAAACAATGTGTGCTAACTGAGTATTATTCTCACAGTTCATTTCGGCATTAGCAACAGAATATGATATATCTGTTTGAACATTCAGTGTGATGTTAGAGACAGAATACATTTCCCACAGTTATATAATGCATTAACGAAAGAATACTTTGTATATTTGGACATTATATTTCATGTCGTTTGATATAAACCGAAATCACATGCTTACTGATTGGATAAAGAATATAAACTGTATATTTATAAATAGCGGTTTGATCAATTAAAAATGTACCTTGGCTTCTGTGTCTTGTCTTCTGTTGTTACAAAAGTAACACAATAAACCTCCAAACAAAAGAGTGGCGATGTCTTCACTGAGAAATGGTAGACATCGTAGTCATGCACTCAGATTTCAAGAGATCTTTGTCACAAAAGTAGCAGTCGTGTTTATGTTTTACGGGATGGGGTTGCTAGCCTCACGCCCAACCTTCTTTCTTTACCGGGTTTACTGCCAACTAGGTGAGGTAAAGGAGTGCGTCGGCCGGAGATCAAACTCAGGACAACTTGCTTAGTCGACCAGTGTTCTCTCACTGAGCCACTGACGCTTCTATCACTAGTTAGTTATTTTTCACCAACCCCCCAGCTTATTTAAATTTTTTTCTCTTCACGTTCCCAGCGGAACACAGGGCTTCAAGCTAGAGGCTTGGAGTTTCTGCAGCGGTGTTTAATTTTACAGGATGGGGTTGTTAGTCTCATGCCCAACCTTTCCTCTTTACCAGCATTATTTCTGGCTTAGCGAGGTAAAGGAGTGCGTCGGCCGTGGATCGAACCAGCTCAGCGTCCCTATGCAACTCAATGTATTGCAAAATATAAAAGTGGCGACATCATAATAACACACTTCTTCTGTGCCATAGGCTTAGATAGCCAAAAAGAAATCCACTTGGAATATGTTCTCTTTTTCGTATTTTCCACTTTGAGAATTTATAAGCAAACCGATTGCAGTCTTAACTTCAAATACCTTTCCAGTTTGAAAGTCGGATACTCTTTTAAAAAAGTAGATTTAGTTCCCATGTTTGATTGTGCGGATGAGGATGTCAAAGTGTTAGGACGGACAAGCTTCTTTGCTGACCGCGAAGTCACAATTTATGCATGCACTGACATGACAACCTGATTGAACAGCTTTTGATACTTCTATTTATACATTAAATTTCTGAGGTTTTGTAAATATGGTATACCATGTAATTGTCTGATAAACGCTGCTGCGTCTATCTGAGTGTGGGGGATACTTTCAAGTAATCATTTGGTTGGTTATCGTGCCGTGTCTGGAGGCGCTTAACCACAACCCAGTAACATTCTGTTATAACAAAAAGGCAGCAGGGGTAAGATCCCGAAATCAAGACAGATGTTGTTCACTACTCTGAGATCAATATAGGGATCTATGGCATTCAGCACAAGGATAAAGATTAACGTCAAGCAAGTGCTTCTGTATAGTTCAGAGATTGGTCATTTCCGTAAAACGGTTTTCAACGGGCTACTGTAGACATTTACCAACACATGCTCTCACTGGATAATAAAGATCAGATGACTGTAGAGGATAAGCAAAAAAAGACTCTTGCTGCAAACCAGTCAAGAGATCAACTGAAATCACATGCAAAGCTCTCGAGTGGGATTCGAGTGAGCGACGACAAGTTGGGTGTCTGAAATGACATGGAGAGGACTATGTGAAGAGGGAATGAAGGCTTGTGGACAAATCTAAAGACAGTTAGAGGGCCTTCCAGAGAACCAAGTTAAGTGAAAATGTGCCGTTGAAGTCCTATGTTTGCACTCGAGCAAAATAATAATAATAATCTCCCTGATTTTGAGATATTCCGAACACTGGGTGTATACCTAGCAAGTTTCAGTCAATCGACTAAGATGCAGGCAAACAGCTCAAGAGCGTACTAAACACAATCTGAAGATGAATATGGTGACAAACTATAAAGGAAGAGTAAAGAAAATAGATATAATACACCACAAAATGAATAAATAATAAAACACCAATCGATATTTACTCTTCCCATTGATTGTTTGCGATTTCTTTCGAAGAATATTAAATGCTCTCGACTTCGAAGATGATGATTTCTCCTGTGAGTCTTCTTCGTGTAAACGATGGTGTCGTAGAAGGAGCATATTTTCACTTGGAAAATCAATAAGACGTTGAAGTGAACACCCGACATTAGCAGATATTTTTGATTTCACTGAACTATCAGGATCATTAGTTGTCGTTAATTGTTGTGTAGACATTTTAAGAGATTCGTCTACATATGAACGACGTCGAAAATTTTGTAAATCCAGTAATGGATCAGCTAAACTAATACCATTCTATATAGATTTTTTAAAAAGATTGAGGGAAAACACAATAATCACATTTTTAATGAAAGGAAAATCCCTATTTTATATAGTTTAAAAAATTTGGCTTTGGATATTTCCCAATGAATGAAAAAGAGCAAAACGATACTGCTGTTATTTTTACTCACGTTTCGCTATTCAGTGCTGCTAATAACTGTATCACAGTAGTAGTATTAAACCATAATTCACAAAATCTCAGCTTTCATTATATAATAACTTGATCACCGTTCATCGACCATGCGGTAATTTTTGCGTTGTCAAGTTGACCAATTGGTAAAGATAACGAAACCATGTGTAGATTGTCGAATTTGATAAGTGTATAAAATTAGAAAAGCATCGTTTGTTTATTTGACGAAATTGCTCATCACTTCCGTGTTGATTTTGTCATTTCATGGAGGAGGGGGTGTTGTAACCAGGTCAAATTCTGTTTTAGTCCATCACTTATATTCGGACAATTAAAATTCCATTCGATATGAAGTGATGATTTAATACGTTCCCTATGATTTCTGAAATTTTCCTGGATTATTTCAATATTGTCAAAATCAACACCATGGCCTGATTCTATAGTGAGTAGACACCTGTGCCTGATAATTTTTCAAGCTTTAATAGTTCTTCCTGTGCGTCAGTGGTACAGCAGTTAGGACGCTCACCGACAATGTACATGGTCCCGGGTTCGACTCCCTGCCGACGCACTCCTTTACTTCGCCAAGCCAGTAACCAGACTGGTAAAGAAAAGAGGTTGGGCATGAGGCTGGTAACCCCATCCTGTAAAAATAAACACTACTATAGAAACGTCGAGCCTCTAGGCTTGAAACCCTATGTTCCACTGGGAACGTGAAGGAATAATAATAATAATAATAGTTCTTCTAGATTTCTCGGTCGTTGAACAGATGCTCTAATATAAGGTTTTCACTTCTGATTTTGATTTTTGTCCAGCGATGTTAATCAGATGTATATCGCATCCTATTCCAAGCATTTTATTTTGTAGACACAATTAGATTGATAATCCATAGGGATTTGGTCTTTTATATAGACTAGATAGCTTTTACAATTGTAAACACTTATCAAAATCCAACAATCTGCCCTTGGCTTTGTTATCTTTATGAATTGGCTAAGTTGACAACGCAAAAATTACCCCATCCTTCGATGAACGGTGATTAAGTTATTACATAATGCTGGTTGAGATTTTGTGAATTCTGGTTTATAACTACTACTTTGATAAAGCTTTTAGCAGCACTGAATAGCGAAACGTGAGTAAAAATAACAACAATATCGTTTTGCTCTTTTTCAATCATTGGGAAATAAAAGCAACTTTTATTATAATGGAAAATCCGCAAACTGAATTATTAATAAAAAGAAGACGTAACGGCGAAGAACATTTTCTGTTTAGCGGGTCGTTTTCAAGACGGTGGTGTACATCGTATTTATATATATGAATATCTAGACAGCAGATTTTGCAAATTTCCATGGAATAATTCCAGCACCAAGTCAGACTGAACCAATAAAAAATTACTTAAAATGATTCCAGAGAGTTTAGTAAATCAAAACAAGATTTTCTCGAACATTTCGACGTGTAAGCAAGCCTCATTAATTATGTTGAAGATGCTGTAGCTTAGAGGTCGAAACATTCGGGAAAATCTTGTTTAGGTTTCTAAACACGCTAGGATCATTTTAGGTAATTTTATCGTGGTAATTATTTTTAGCTAAGAATTCTTATAAAATCAGTCAGATTCTGGTGACGATGTTTTAGAAAATGTATTATATGATGTGAGGTGTATTCTAGAAGGCCATGCAAAGCGTTAAGTCCACAAATGTATTTTGAAAGATTGTTCAGCTTCGCCACTTAGAGAAGAAAAGAAGAATGCAAGTAGTTTCAACCAAGAACACCTTGTTAAGTCTAGATATCGGACATCTGTGCAATGATTATCGCGGTTCCCCCAATATCACACGAAAGCATTTCGAATACGTCATTGGTATTCAGGACTTGAAGCTGGAATTCAGTACTTAGAAGCACTGCATAAACTCAATCAACTTACTGTGGTCACAGTAACATTCTTGAAATAATTTTGCTTATTTTTACTTATTATTTTATAATTATTGCGTCAGTGGCTCAGTGCTAGGATGCTCACCAACCACCGTCTCTTTCGGTCTAGGTGTCTAGGCAATATCTCATTCCTTAGAGAATCTCTTGCTGCTTATAATGTACTAAGTTTTAGTATTAATAATAATAATAATAATATAAACTACTGTAAAACACCCTAAAAAATTATGTACTATGTAAAAAGCCATCTTTCAGAATAAACCTATTATAATTAGTATTACTGATTACAATGTTAATTAAAAATACAGTTATTCTGGCAATTTACTCAAATGCACAATTTGAGAACAATAAAGGCCTATTAAGCGAGCATATGAAGTATTCATGTGAGAGCTATTGTCAACACAGTGAGTGAAAGTGATTTCAACATATGATCAGTTGAAAACTATACTTCTACTATAACTACTGTAAAAAAAAACAAAATTTATGATACTACGCTGTTATTATTATTGTGAACAACAAAATTGTGCTCAAAAAATCACTAGTAAACAAAATAATGCTGTATCACACTGTGCGCTACATTAAATGTTGAATTCTCAGTGTCATGGGCTTTTGTAAAGCATAATTTGTGTGTGTTATGACTACTTAAAGGAGGATGACATTTTATTTTACGATAAATTTTAAGTAATCGCTTTGGTGTTACAAAAAATATTAAAGTATTCGACTCAGGTATTCGCATATTCACAACCGCGAAATATACTCATTAATTCATAAGAAAAACCTCAATTTTATTTTATTTCAGAGAGGAAATATTTTTTCACTCAGCGACTTCATTTCCAACAAACTGTACAGTCATATTTATATTTCGGAAGAAAAACAAGGCATTATGTGGCACTATAAATTGCTCAGCCACTATCGCACATATGATATAATTATTATTGCTCCCTTGGGTTCCTAGTGAAACATAGGGCTTCAACTGCACGTCTCCACTTGCTTCTGTCATGCTTATGCTGTACTTTTCACCTGCATCCATGTTAGTCCATACTCTTTCAACTCCTCTTCACACCATCTCCTCCATGTCACCTTTGCACTGACGTCCCACTCGCCGCTTCCCTTTCGGGTTCCACTCAAGCAATGACATGACGCGCGCACGATGTCAGTCAGAGGCCTTCTCAGAGAGTATCCAATCCATCTCCACTTTCTCTTGCATATTTGTTGGTTGGCGGTTGGTTCTTGTTTTTTTGTTCCCATAGTTTCTTGTTGGTGGTTCTTTCCGGCCCGGCCATCTAATCTTCAGTATAGAGCGATAGTTGACAGTTGTTGGTTGATAAAGGTCTGCAACTGGCTGTTGGAAATATTCTTTGTGACCCGCCAAGCGCCAAGTTTCTGATCCGTATAGAAGAACTGACTGACTTGACGTTTGTATTGAAAATCCGATCGAATTTGGTTGTTGATGCTGAGTGACGAAGATTTCCAGATTGATTTCAGTTTGGTGAATGTGTTTCTCGCTTTCCGGATTCTCGATTTGACATCCTCGTCCGTTCCTCCTGTAGTTGAGACAATGCTCTTTAGATAAGTGAATGAAGTAGCCTCTCTAAAATCCCTCCCGTTGATGGTGATTGGCTGTTGGCTGGACGTTGCTGCTGTTGTCGGTTTTCGCTTTTGTGTGACATCAAACACAAATCATCCGCGAAATCCAGGTCTTCTAGGTTCTTCACATCGGTTCAGGATATCCCTGGATGTATTAAGGGAGTAGAATTGAACTGGATGAATTACCAAACCTTTAAAGATTATTAAATAAGTGGAATAGTATAAAGATTTTAAAATGGCTAATGATTATTGTTCAGCTGCCGGGCTTGTTGAAAAATTTGATAATGGTCACCCATCGATGCTTTTCAACGTCGAAGAAGAATCGAATTCCACATTTCACTTCTTAGATGTGATGGTGAATAGGAGAGAGGAGGGTACGTTAAAAAGGTCGATTTTTCGAAAGCCAACATATACAAGGGAATGTACTAACTTTAACAGTTGGGTACGTCTAGGTAGGAAGAGAAATCTTATCCTTTCTCGATGCTTTAGAATTCTAAAAATTTGCACTCTAGATACAGTCGATATTGAACTAGAAAATCTTTGCACAGCTCTCTTAAATAATGAATATTCTATAAGGTTTATTAACAGAAACATCGAGAAAGAAACTGTCCCCAGTAAAATCACAGTTCCAAAGAAGACACTGTTTATGAGTTTGGCTTTCAAAGGTGACACTATATCTGAAGTAATTAAAAGTCGTTTATCTAAACGTTTTAAACACTGTTTTTATTCAGCTGGCTTACATTTAGTATTTACCAGCCAAAATATGATTCGACAATATGTCAAGGGTAAACTACCGCTTATGTCCGCCTCTATGTGCATATACTCATCTATATGCTCGTGTAGAGCTGATTATATTGGACGCTTTAAGAGAGTGCTCCGTAAACGCGTAGCTGAACACCATCCCATTTGGTCAGTAAAAAAGTCGGCATATGACGACAAAGTCTTCAGTCTTTGAATACCTTCTGGAGTCAAGTCGTTCAACTTCACGTGGTTTATCCTTCAGAGTTATTTACAGGACTGAATCCAATCGGACAAAAAGCCTACTTTTTCTCCACTTATGCATAGACAAAGCTCTAGCTATACATGGACAGAAAGCCAAACAATGTGCTCGAAAACGATTTTTAAACCCGTTTCTTTACCTTGGTCATAATGATGCTCTTTTATTTTATTCTCTTTTACCAATTGAAATCATTCCCGCCTCACTTTATCTTCGCGGTCTTTTCTGTTATCATTATCGTACTGTTAGTCATTTAGACAACAACTAACCTATAATTTTAAAATCTTTATACCAGTTCAACTATTTAATAATCTTCAAAGTTTTGTGATTCATCCAATTCAATTCTACTCCCTTAATACATCATTTTAATTATCTTAATTCTTATCATGTGTACAATATTGACTGAGTAATTTCTAGTGCCTTCTTTTTCTTCCGTAATATAAATACGGAAATGAAGTCGTTGAAAAGACATATTCACAATCATCAATTAAATATTCTTGTGTTCAACCAGCTTCTCTCTTTAGGTTTTAGCTTAAAAAAGTAAAATTATGAGGAAACAATAAGTAGACAATCCACCTGAAAGGTTCAAAGGAGAGTGAAGAATAGTATTCAACATATACTTCCCTTGATATACAGTTTACAATGTTGTCACACCACTTTCAGACCACAAGATACTGATTGTCAAAACCCTGGTAAAGTGAGGGTGCGGAACGGGATTTAAACCCATGACCCAACGGTTAAGAGTTAATAGTTTAATCTAATAACCACAGCTCCAGAACTAACCGTTTGGATACCCTAATGTTCTATATGATAAACTGGAGAACTTATCTCTGCGAGTGACCAATACCAAAAGTCTTTACGTGTCAGACAATCATAGTACTAAAAAAAATTCTACATTATCGATGCAGCGAATGGTATGACTGTCAGTGGAAGTAGAATTCACGAATAATTCTATATAACACCCCTTTAGCGAGCATTTTCTAATCAAGTGTCAATTCAGCTTGCCAAGAAGAATGTTTATCACCAGCCACAATACCCGATTTCATACAAAAATACTTGAGTGCTTCCATTACGCTCGGACAGTGAAACTTAGGTCGGAGTTTTCAAACTTTAAAAAAAACAGGCAACTGAGAAAAGCAGTGCTTCAGTTGCGCATTTATTACGCACCCGAAGATACACCAAGATGACATAATAGATATTAGATTGAATAAAAGCAGCTAAAAGTAACACCAATTTACTAGGCTATGTAAAACACATCTATCATTCCATAGCTGGTGACAACACAAGTACAGAAATATGAAACCTTACTCTTCATCCTATACACTTAGCAAACCAACACCGAAAGCTGAATACGCTTTCGATCATCTTCCAAAATAGAATTAAAACAAATTTAATATTAGGCATGGATTTTCTGCAAGACATCCAACATCTTCACTCTATGTGGACTGGTAGACCATATTTAAAAACCGTACACAAAGCTCCATAGCGTGAACTCTTAACATATATTAATATTTCTCGATGAATATACGTTATGTCAGTTGCAACAGCTTAACCAGGCTAATATTGAGGCTTTTGCTACTGAGAAGAGGATTTGTAAGTAGTATACCTATGACTTGTTCTGCAAAAGTTTTGAATAGCCGAACGACAAATTAAATTGCACAGAGGAAAAATGAAAACCATTATATAAAAAAATAGAGAAAGCATGAGACAAAGAAAAAGGGGAATAATACGAATAACTCTTACAAATTCAAGTTTCAATGAAAAGCTTTTAGATTTTGACAAATATACAATTATGCTAACAAATACCATTTTGTTCTACTCATACAATTGTTGTCACTTCCTCTGTCATAAACGAAAGTATTGTGGTTGCATGTATTCGAACAAAACGACGTGTTGAAATTCTTGAGGGTCTTAGACGTTGTCGCTAACCTTATTGGCGTGTAGTAGCAGTAGGCGAAGCTTATGATCATAGGAACTTTCTGTTGAGAGGTCAGGCGATAGTATCGGTGCACAGATGTCGTCAGTAAAGATCGTCTAGCGGCTGATTTCAGAGTTCGACAGCCCATTGGGTAGATAGGAGGAGTTGCTGAAATTTAGGAGCCTACAAGCTCGGTGCAGTTGAGGGTTTGGGCAGCAACGTTGACAAACCTTCTGTGACTTGCGTTACCGAATTTCAAAGGAAAATTTAAAAGCTTCCCTTTTTATGGAGTGAATCATTACTACTATCACCCATCAACTATAGTTAGTGAATGTAGCCTTACCTTACTCTTCATTTCTTCTCTTTGCTACTTAATTAATCTCTCCGCTATCCAGATTATTGCAGCAGATATAGCCGATATACTACTTACAAATTCTTGTCAGTAGCGTACCCAACAATACACACAAAGAATTCATTGTTTTTATTGTTCACAATTAAAAAAGAAAAAAAAATTAGCAGAATCATAAAAATAGGGAGACATGTACCTACAGCTAATTCGTTGATAGCAGCTTTCCAAATTGGTAAGACATCATCTAAAGTATTACGATAAACTGTTAGACCTTTGGTTAAACCATCTAACCGTTGACTTTCTAATGTTTGTTGATCATTGAAACACTAAAAATAATAAAAATAATAATAATAACAGATACCTTCCATTTGATAGATATAATATACTGAAACATACAAAGTACCACAATACACTTTTCCTCCTGATGGATTACTTGTGTCCAATGTAGTGTGGCTGAGCAAGTGACAAGATGCAGTGTTGATAGTATTTCTCTTCAATGTAGATTTCGTCACGAACCATCTTCCGCTATAGAGATCATTACGAATTGGGGAGCAGTGGGTAGCTGTTAATTCCTAGCTCGAGACTCCTGCAAAGCACACACCTATGGACCAACCAGAGATCGAACCGAGGACCTTCAGGTTAAAACGCTAGTTCGTTGACCATTCATTCAAGGACCCATGAATTCTAACTTCTATCAATTCGGGATATAGCTCTACCCTAAACCAATAAGCATACAATTCTCCTTGACTTATTGGACCACAATGGCAATGTAAATTAGTCCAAACTCCTGCAAAAATCTATAATATAAATATCGAATTCGCAGTTCACTGATGATAAGTGGATGGACGTTCTAAAGCTGTACTCAGCTTTTGTCAGTGGGAACTACCATGCAAAGGGGAGGGCACTGACCTCAGGTAGCACTATATCATGAATTGATAGAATTTAGAATTCATGGGTCATTGAATTACAAGCCATGTGGATGAATGATCAACGAACTCACCTCTTAACCTGAAGGCCCTCGGTTCAATCCCTGATTGGTTCATAGCTGCGCATTCCAAAAAGTCTCAAACTAGGACTTAAAAGCTGTCCAGTGCTCCCAAATTTGCAATGACCTCTCTAATTAATGCAGGTTTGTGATGAAATGTACATTAAAATGAGTGCAAATGTCTACAGAAACCCATAGTCTGAGCAGTATTTGAGTAAGTCAACAGTTAGTTGAATCAACTAGTTGTGGTATTTGCTCCCATAGACACAATACACACTAAAAAGAAGCAGCCGTGAGAGTCATGATTTGTGCATTATTTAATCATGTCAATTCAAGGTACAGTGATTTTACTCGGTTTAAATCAATAGAAAGATAAAAATAACAGCTGTTAAGAGCTTAAATCACATCTAATATCCAGTGTCCCTTAGATTTAATTTTACTGCTTTGGCTTTGGTTTGGATTACCGAATAATGCCATGAAGAGCCATGAAAGATTTGGAATCAAAGTCTTATCTACAAGACAGACAGTAGAGTAGCGTTCCCGTAGCTTTTAGTGAGCAAAACTGGTTCGTACGTCATTCAGCCTGTTCGAGTTCTAGAACCCATTTACAGAATGGGTTTGGCATCACGGTTTTCCAACTCTTTTAGGTCAATCTGTATGTTCAAAAGTCCGGTAGCAGGTGCTACACAGTCGAATTTGTCTTTTCGCTTTTGTGAGGAACAATGCAGTCACGTGAATGGGATGAATAGGACTTCCCTGACTGCCAGAGGCTATGAACGCGTGGCTACATGAGAGCATTTCGAGACTAAGGCTGATGTCTACCCACCCTCAGCCATATATAGTCGAAAACATGGTTAAAGGAGATTTATGTTTGTTATATGTAGTGTTTAAACATATTCGAATATCTCTCAAAGCATATGTGCTGTGTTCTCATTGTATTTTTGTTATTCGACATGTTCGTTAAAAGTAAAACGTGGGAAAGTGTCAAAGAAATTTTATCACTTATGTGTTTGCAGATTTCCTACAATGCAGTAAGGCCACAATTCCCATGGGTGCAGTAAGGTTTGAAATGAACAATCAGCAGTCAAACGTCTAAGCACTTATGTTGCGAATTCACTGAAGACAAACTTCATCGTTTTTTATCATATCTAACTATTCATTTTCAGATAATTCACTTTTCACACATTCAATGGTTGTACTAACATCTGTTCAAAATAGGCAGTATATATCGGGTTGAGACGATATAGGTAGATGACATGTGCACTGAATTATTACCTATTGACTCTTGAATGGCAGCGATCGGCATCACCATCATCATCACTAATACAATTGACAAGTAAAAAAAAGGCAAGCCAAATTTATTGTCAACTTTACACACTGAAATAGAAATCATTATAACCGTTATCCAGCGAAAATAGGCTAAATGAATATTCACGTTTTCTTACAGCCATTCAGTCACTGCTCGTAGCATAAAGGCATCATAAGATAGTCTACAATATTACAAGCTGCAGACATTCTTCAACAGTTACTTTCGTTGCACATTAAAGACAAGTTGACCAGAAGGAATTAACAACGAGGAAAACTGGTAGAGTAGCAACCAAGTACCCATTGATAGACAAATATGCAGAGGGAAATGGAGGTGGATTGGACACACGGTGAGGAGACCATTGAGTGGAGCTTAACTGTGAAACGACGAGTTAAACGTGGGTCTGAGGATGATATAGAGGGGATTGTATCAAGGGAAAATCAAAGTTTAAGGCCTATCGTGGAGCCATATGAAATGAATTTCGGAGAACAAAGTGAAACGTCGATGGGGCTGTGAAGCAGTATGTTACACTCGTAATCTAAAGGAATAAATGCATAATAAGCACTATTATGAATAAAAAGGTCACCATGTTCAATAGAGCACAAGCTGTACATGACAGTGAATAGAAACAACTGTGTATAGAAATATAATGAAAAATAACGACATAATAACTAGTTTGCATGTACACAAATGTACGTTGGTGGCACAGCGGTTAGGACGCTCGCCGACCATGCACGTGGTCCGGGGTTCGATCCCCGGCCGGCGCACTCCTCTACCTCGCTAAGCCAGTAGTGAGACTGGTAAAGAGGAAAGGTTGTGCATGAGTCTAGCAACTCCATCCTGTAAAAGTTAACACCGCTACAGAAACTTCAAGCCTCTAGCTTGAAGCCCTGTGTTCCACTGGGAACGTGAAGCAAAAAAATGTACACAAAACATATAAACGACTTGGTACTACCGAGGGTGGGTAGACTTCGATATTCCTCTCGAAATGCTCTCTCTATTGCAGCAACGCTTCCATGGCATTTTCCCTCCCGGTAAGTTCTATTCACTCCATTCACGGGGTAGGGGTGTTTCTCACAAAGGCAAAAGGACGAATGATAACGCTCAGCGCCTACAACCGGACTGGTGGACACCCTCGCCTGCCTAGCTAGGTGACCTGGAAAACCCTGATTCAAAACTTATAGTGTACATGGGCCCCTGAGTCACAAAGGGTCGAATGGTATATGAACCAGGTTCTGCCTCCAGGTAAACCATGAGAATGTAGGTCGTAACGCCAATCCAATGCCTTTTCCATCAGATTTCCAAGGGGCCCCTTAAAGAACCACATACTTCGATTTCGACATCCGGGTAGTATCCCAACTCTCGCATAAACTATGAGATTTTGTGTAGCGCACAGCTTGTTGACCGTATTGTTACGCGTTTGGGTTTTAATAAACAATAATAATTTACATCTTAGTAGACGAAGGAATAATACAGTAAACATGTCAGGTATTAAAATACTCACCTTCAGCATTCTCGTATGCCAGTCTATTCTAGCCTCTTCAGCTGATACACAAGCCCGATAATAGTCGGTAAGAGTTGCATTATATGCATTCTTTAACTGTACACAAGTGTGACAAAGAAATAATATTGATGCAGAAATGTAAGCAAAATTTAGTAGTCACAAAATCAATGCATATTTAATTGCCAGCTATTATATAGCGGAAGAAATAGTCATACTTAATCAATACGCTTTAAGACAGATAGATAGTTAAACAGACATGTGACTTGATGAATGTTTATCATGTTCAAACATATTGTATTCCTAATAAAATATAAAACCGGACAAACTCCAACAGTCAACAAAACTTATACGTCCACTTAAATAAGGTATTAGGAAGAGAAATACTGACCAGGTGATATCATTTTATAGTATCTTCACGATAGCTTTACAACTGGCATATGGTAAGTGACTTTATTACACGACCCCGCTAACTATAGCGTTGTAGTCCATTGCTATAGTGGTTTAATAACAAGATATATTTTTTGTATACCTTTTAAATGAAATATGGTATTAAACAATTTTTTTCGCATGAATATTATCCGTGGCATTCTAATCGTGGACTGCGTTACACTTGCTTTAATTTCATCAGAAAATGTCGCTTGATACTGATTTCTGTGCAATGTAATGGATTAGAGAAGGCAGTAAGTTCAAAAGTCAAACGTATACTATTGAATTTTCTGTTTAATGTCACACAAACTCGAAAACTTACAGGAAAAAACCAACAAACTGTCTGAAGAAGCGGAGAAGACAGGACTCCAGGTGAACAAAGACAAAACAAGGGTGATTAAGATAATCAACCAATAGCGACAAAAAACGGTACTAATCACCCTCGACGGAATAAAGTTGAGAGAGATTACTCCCTTCACTTATTCAGGGAGCATCGTTTCAGCCACAGGCAAAACGGATGCAGATGTCGAAACCAGAATAGGAAGGGCAAGATACACCTTCATCAATCTGAAACCAGTTTAGAAATCTACACTCCGTAGCATAAGGAACAGGATTCGGATTTTCAACACCAACTTTAAACCAGATAGTTCTTCTGTATGCGTCAGAAACTTGGCGTTGGCATTTCCCACAGTCAGTGGCGGACTTCTATCGGCGTCTGACTTCGCTGGCTCCATATTGAACATCAAATGGCCCGAAAGAATTAGTAATAAGAAACCCTGACAACAAACTAACCAATGGCCGATTGCTCAACAAATATGTTGGGGAATAAAATGGAGACAGATCAGGCATACGTTGAGGAGGCCGTTCAATGGCATCGCGCACCAGGCCATTGCTCGAGTGAAATCCCAATGCAATGGATGGTGACGAGTGGTTCAACCTAGGATGACATGGAGGAGATCATGTGCGGAGGCGATGAGAAATTATAAGCGATCACCGACCGAGCTGACGAGGACAGCACCAAATAGGACAAAGTGAGGATTTGTTGTTGAAGCCTTATATTCCACCCAGAATCCAAGGGAATAATAATATTCCAGTTGTAAGGGTGTCCGTGGTTCAGCGATAAGACTCTTGCAAACCCTTCACGTGGGTCAGGGTTTGATCCCCAGTCGACACATACTTAAACCTCGCTAAGTCGGTAGTAAGACTGGGTGGTTAAAAGGGAAGGTTAGGCGTCAGGTTAGCTACCCTACAGAGTAAAAATAAAGTCGGTGCTATCGAAACTTCAAAGCTCTACCTTAAAATCTTATGTTCTACTCGGAACATAAAGGAATACAAAAAAACAGTTTTAAAGCGATCATGAAGAAACTACAAAATGACATTATCACACAATATTAGCCTTCATAATGATTTATTTGAATTCATTAAGGGAACTAACTATTACACATATCACAAGATGAAAAAGTTGGAATTTAAGGGTCATTGACTCAATGGTCAACCAGCTCGGTCTAGTAACATAAAGGTCCTGGATGATATGGCTCAAAATCATGAATGGCAGAGATGTATTCACTCTTTATAATCTCTCAGATCGATTAAATCTTCATGTTTCTCTGTGTTAACTATTTTTTCCTTCAATACATTTCCTCTCATTCTGTCTGTCATTGTCTGGATGCAACATAGAGCTTGGCACCGAAGTGCAGCCGTTCGAGTTGTCACGTTCCAAATAGCACACAAAGGTAGACAAGAAGATGAGTGAAGGGAATCAATAGAGTTTGACAAGTATAAGAGTGAAACAGAATGGGTAATGGTAGAAAGGAATATGAAAGATTACACAGGCTGAATACATCTGCGCTGGCCATTGACAACGATTTTGAGCCATTTCACCTATTGTCTCCAGCCATTGATTCCTAGAGACCCAAGGGCCCCAACCCGGAAGTCTGCATCTCCCTACCCGACTCAGTTTAACTGTCAAGGATTTCATGGATTGATGACATGTTTTTGTTTGGCCACCACTTACTCTTTTCAAACCTGCACCTATATCAGCTAGTAATGCCCGTCGGGGTAGGCGATGGTTAGGCATGCGCAGCACGTCACCTAGCCATCTCAATCTATGTAACTTTATAGCCTCGTCGATTGATTTTCCCTCTTTGCCCAACACTCTACGCCTAACGTCAACATTACTTACCTTATTGAACCACCTAACGTGAGAAAGAGATCTCAGACATCTGTGATCGAAAGCAGTCAACCTTTTCATGTCTTCAACTCGTATTGGCCATGTTTCAGAGCCATAGAGAAGGATGGAGCGAACTGCTGAGCAGTACACACATCCCTTGGTTGATAGCCACATGTCACGCCTGCGCCAGAGATGACGTAAGTTAGCGAAAGCAGCTCGAGCTTTTTGGATCCCTGCTGAGATTTTGTCACCAATCAGTCCGTTGGTGCTGATACAACTTCCCAAATAGGTGAAGTGGTTTCCTCTCATTAGACTTCTTTGGAATTTTTTTCCTATTTCCCTCTATCTTTGGAGTGTGGTAACTTGAACTGATGCACTTCTGTGTACAGTTTTATGTTGAAAACCTAGTCATCAGTTAAGGAATAATTTTTATGGACAACATTAGTGTTTTAAAAAAGTTTCCTTATTCCTTTACGTTCCCAGTGGAAGATAAGGCTTCAAACTAGAGGTTTGAAGTTTCGGTAGCAGTGATGTTTATTTTTATGAGATGAGGCTGCTAGCCTCATGCCCAGCCTTCCTTCTTTACCAGTCTTATTAATGGCTTAGCGAGGTGAAGGAGTGCATTGGCCAGGGATCGAACCCTGGACCATGTGCATGGTCGGCGAGCATTCTACCGCTATGCCACCGACGCACTTTAAAAAAATAAAGTCTGATTGATAAGATCACAAATTGGAAAGGTGTATATGAGTACACTGTTATAGTTTGTAACACGCGTTTGTAATAAAACTGCATAAATATGACGTTAACTGAAAGTCAAACACATCGAAACAAATCATCATGAATAAAATAAATGATGTGTATGTTTTCTACTGATTACTAGTGATTAGTGTTCAAATTGAATTTTATTCGAATTCATTATAGACTTGATATAAATGAATGTGAAGATCAAAAACAAAAGAGGGAAAATCAATATATGTTATTTAAAAAACATTGTTGTTGTCAATACCAATACTGTAAATAACAAATATGCAGAATATATATATATATATGTCATTGATCAGTCGTGTTAGAGAGAATCGTTCAATGTCTATTGACATGTCAATTAGGGACCCTTCGACAATAGCTAAGAACTAATGTAAAGTTATTCTGTATAGCGCTTGAAACGATGGGTTCAGGTTTCAAGTCTTATTGGGAAAATCACCACTCACTGATAATGTAGGTACATCCAATTGACGAGTCCCAAATAGGACGAAATGTACATCCTGGATTCCACTAGTAACCAAAAGAACATTCCCTTGCTTGTTGTTGAGAGCTGTGATATTTTTCAATGAATATTTCATGATTCAGTGAACCATTCAGAAATGCACTACTCACATCATAAAATCCTTATTCTATTATTACTGGGTGACTACGTCAATTGTTGCCTAAAGAGGCTCACCTTAATAAAATAGCCGCCAAAATATAATTTCATAAAACTACGAAAAGCTAAAATTATATCCATAATTATTCAATCACTAATTAATATTAGTCAGAAAACCACTGAGCATCCCTTTCGTCTCAGATCGAGACTCTTCGTTAATACATATTATGCCCTCAACAGGTATCGAATCTAGAATCTTCAGGTTACGAGTCACGTTAGTTGACCGTTCAGCCATTGGGACAAAATCCAGTCGGCATGAGTTCTAACTTCTGTCAACTTGCGATTTTGGGTGCCGCCACCTCTAACTAATGTTGTCTCTACACCTGACATGACGGGTCCCAACGGTCACGACTTTTCAATAAAACTTCAGGCAACTTTATCCAGCAGTCACTAATGAACATTAGATTAGTTTTCTAGCATCACTTCAAAGGAATTATATTGGTTTCAAGTTAGATCATAGATTGAACTGACATCAGCTAGAGAACGACTGAAAATGAGGGGGAACTGGACAGCTGTTTCATCCTGGTTTCAAACTCTTCATCGGTACTTACGCAGCACCTTCAGGTCATGAGAACTTCCTGACCATTCAATCATTGACAAGGAATCAAACGGCTCATGAGTTCTAATTCAAGTTCTAGCCTAAAGGTCCGAAGTTGGATCGTCAGTGTGGCCGTGGGTGAGTTTTACTGAAGAGTCCCAAAGTAAGACGAAAAAACTGCCTAATACTCTCTATTGGTCTATTGGTTTTCACTGGTACTCTAACTGATATCAAACCATGTTCGAACTTGAAACCAATCTAATCCCTACAAACTAACACTAGAAAATAATAATTATGCTTACCCTAATATTAAAATAACGAAAACAAATACTGAGGATAATTAATAGTCAGCATTCATATCGCAAACTTTTTTGTCTCTTTTTTATGTACTGTATAAGTATTAAAGCTTTAAAAACTGTTATGTACATTTTACCAAAACTGGTTAATTGAACAGAAGCAGTAACAGTTTAAAAAAGAAACTTCATACCTTAGATACTGTTAATAACTTTTTAGTATTTACATCTCCCGACGATAAACTATTATGACGTCTAACAGTATTATTTGACTTCAAATCAGCTGTTGCAAAACTTGAACTTTTTGTACATTTTCTATACGGTAAGGAAGTATACAAAAAGCTTAAACGTGAAGGTGAATAAGTCGAAGAAACAGGAGTAGTTGTAGGTGGAGAAAGATGATTTGTAGAATCCATATTTCCGTTGACTGATGCCAAAGTAGACGATTTCGTAGTGTTTACTACTACTGCTGATCCGGAAGATGCGGTTGTCAGTGGTTTAGCGTGATAATCAATCGAATTTCGTTTCACTAATGAATAATTCTTTAATGAATCATGATCAGATGTACTATTGCTTGTAGAGTCTATCGTACAGAGACTAAATGTATCCGATCGATTCAAACTGCGACTGCGCCAGCTGCGACTGAGTTCATTATTTTCGCCCTGTTCTTGTCGTTGCACATGTTGTTGTTGATCTATTCGATTCACATAATTATTGTAAACTCGTTCATAATTACGAAAACATGAAAATAATTTTTGTCTTGCACGAAATTCCATTTCGTATAGAGATAACAAGTTGTCTGTTTCCTTATCCACTAATTTCTTTAGCTATGATATAAAACAAACATGGATTACAATGTACGCAAGTAAATAATGAACATTTAATCGTCAACTAGGAGTGAAACAATTTAATATTGAGAAAAAAATAAACATGTCGCCAATAGAATCCCAGAAAACCAACACTTGCAAATTAAGCTGATGCCCAATAACGACTGGCTGTATATAAGAAGTTACTCAGAATTATGGTGAGAAGTTGAAACCAGCACGATCCACCAAGGCGGGTAAAATATCAGTTACTCAGCGATGATACTGGCTGGCAGTTGCGCTATACGTCGCGAATTGGCAGAAGTTGGAATTCATGGGATATTTGATCGGGTACTGCAGTTGTTGAGTGGTCTACCAGATCGCCTTATAGCCGGAAGGCTACAGGGTTCGAATTCCGGTAAGTGATCGCTGGTAAAGAGTCCGCAACTAGGAGGAGACAGCTATCCAGTACCTCTTGGTTTCTCGCTGGTTATACAACTGATGACAGCTAGTGATCAAACTTGTAATCAATCAAATTCCTGCACACCACCACTTGAAAATAAAATTAACTACTTTCCATGATTCAACTGGTTAACTTCAAAGGTATGAAATACAAATGAGTCATATACAAGTATACATATTAATCAATACCATCACTGACTGTCTAAATCGCATGAATATGGAAACTATCAGGGCTAAATTAAACTATGCAAGGCGGCTGACTCCTAATTACTCGAACTCCCCTCGAATTTTAACCCGAAACCCACAACTTGGGAACAAAACGATGACAGTGGAAGATATGTAAGTCAACGAATGGAAGCGAAAGTGTATGGACGGTTATGACTTCCAAACTGATCATACCGTGGAAGGTGATTTCTTCCTCAAATACCTAAAACATTAGTGGCACTAGTGTGGTGTCAGGGCAGAGCCCAGAAGACAGTTACTTGATACCAGTTACACACGGTCTATTTTAGCTGGATTTTATAGTTTTCTCTGTATTAAGACCTTACAGACGACTACGTACCATCGGGATGTACAATTTTCAGGATGACCTTCTCTACCCTCCTACCTCCCCACAGTAGGATGGCAGAAGAGCCGGTCTGCTGTTACATCTCTATTCGCCAACAGTAAGAATTCGTCCTCAGACCCCCAACATAGTATGAGTGACTTACAGCCCAACTGCTATCCAGACAACGTTTTTGATATGTTAGGACCTGCAGGAACATTAGTTCCAGCCAGTATAGCACAGTGATTAGGACTCTCGCCGACCATGCACATGGTCCGGGGTTCGATCCTCAGCCGACCCACAACTGATATTTATGGTCGGCCTGCAAAATTTGGGCTACCGATATCACACACTGAAAATTCCATACCACCATCTAATGTGATGATTCGGCGTAAACTGTTGACCTTCTTTGGATACCTTATAGTAATATTGTACACTTAATTACAAGATCTACAATTCAAAGGTGTCAAAAAGCATTACGTCAGACGATTCCATGGCTATGACTAGTGAGGAAGCCTATTTTTTAAAACCAAAAGAAAAAATAGTAAACTTAATTAAGATGCACATTTTCACGTCTGTAAATCGCCTCCTTTAGTCATCGCGTAAACCCTCACCTCCAATAAGTTATCAAATAAAGCTAAGGCTGTGATTCTATACTATATCTAATATAAGTACGCAGGCTGACGAACAAATCAATTATGAGCAGTAATAGAGTGTATCCACCTCAAGCATATTAAAGTTAACGAGTATGATTGTAACTAACAGTGAAGACATAAATCAAGTGTAAACAGATGGTTCATATGATTAGGAGGGAAATACAGGAAGACAGTTTACTATACTGTTGAATACAATTCAGATATTTGGTTCGGACTAACAAAAACAGCACTCTGAATAGGTATTAAGTCCGTTTATTTCCTTCTTTAATTGTATAATATCCTATGCTTGAACTATCTGACAGTGGTGAAAGGAAAGTGATTAAAGAAAGCCGACGGATTTACAAGATTAGTCAGGTGTTTAATGAAGAATACCTTTCAAATCCATCCGCTAGAAGCACACGGATAGTCAATTGTATTTGGAACTCATCAACTACATGTATCCGCGTTCTCAGTCAGACTCAGAGTCACCATCTATCGTTTCAAACACCAAAGCATTATTCACTAGGCAGCTCGGGCCACAATATTCATCTCTCGAACAACAGGTACCAATTATTATTTGTTAAATCTTTTTGATTTTGTATTTCTCAGTGACTGGTATTTGGAACGTTATATACTGTGTACGATTCTTGGCGAGAACACTATCACTCATTAGGAATGCAGTTACACCCAGCCAGTGAGTCCCAAAAAGGACAAAATGAGATTCTGAATTCGACTTCTAATGACCATCCACCAAATAACATGTTACTTCTCAAACATTGTCGGAGAAGCAAATGTACTAGAAGCCACAATGACAACAGTTCATCATATTCTGTCAGTGAGGAATAAAAGAAAATTAGAACGAGAACAAGTTTGCCCATTGTATGAGAAGGACGAAAATCATTTTTTAAAGTGGTATTAATCATAAATTATGAAGTCTACGCTGAATATTTGGACTTCACAGAATACAAGGGATTTGTAATTGGTCGTCATGAATAAAAATAATAGCCGAAAAGAATGACTTTTAACGCAAATATGTTTATTTGAACTTTATTCTTCTCTACTTATTAATTATTTGTTTCATTCCCTTGTCTTTTCTTTATTATTTGAAGCATTTTAGTTTATAGATTCATTCATTTGATTTGCCGTTCAAAATGATCGACATGCGAGACAACATTCTGTATTGTTACACCCAACTTTGTAGTTCAGTCACTTATTATTACCATTATTATTCTCTTGATTTCCAATTGGAACATACGGCTTCAGCAGCACACCTCTATTTTATTTTATTCTTCTCAGTTCTCTTTAGCTGACTCTCCATGATCACCTATAAGCTTTCATCTCCTCCTCGTTACATGATCTCCTCCATGCCACCGTCAGACCCACTTCCAACTATTGATTTCACACTCGGATTCAACTCAAGCGACAGCTGCCTGCATGATATCACTCAACGGTAGTCTCATGAGCATATGTCATATCCATCTCCATTTCCTTAAAAATATTTGCTAAGCAACATGTTTTCGGTTGGTTGTTGCTGATTCCTGCTGGCTATATGATCTTCAGTATCAACAGAAATTAGCTGTTGATGAAAGTCTGAAATAGTCTGTTTGAAGCGCTTTTCATGTCGCGTCAAGACTTTGAACCACATAGAAGTGTAGCCACAGAAGACAAGGGTCAGGCAACAGATCGTTTATTGAGAAAATCAGATATTTATAGAACTATATGTACATTATGATTCGTTATTGTTAGCAGAGAAGCAACGTCTTCTGATTGTTTGTTTTCCTGATGAAGGTTATTCCACCATCTCTTTGTTGCCGTTTCTTAGACAGTCCGGAGATATATCTGCGAATCGTATCCGTCCAGACTAAGTCTGCTGTGATTGGTCGTTGAGTTCCCCAAAGTTAGGCTTTCTTCTTGATTTTTCTCATGACCTCGATTCGGGATGTAAACATTGACATCAATTGTTGTACACAATTTTGTCTTGCAGACAGCTCCCACCACAGAAGCACTGAATTAACATTAGATGTTGAAGATCCGGATTTCGTAATAATAATAATAATAATAATAATAATAATAATTTCAAATGAATAAAGGTATATGTTTCTTCTGTTTAACTTATACGATTTTGAATGACCAAAATTTAGAAATAATAATTACATAGTTCAGTTGTAGACCTTGTTAACTGATTATAATATTTCCTAAGGGCAAATCCACCACCGGATATGAATGGTTTTTCTCTCGGGGAAGGAATAAAACACAAATGAATACAAGGCAAAGACGGACTGACTGGTTTCAACGTAGAACTTTGCACAGGCGTGCAGCAGTTTGAGTGGCCACACTCCATATAGCACACAAAGCAAGAGAAAAAAGTAAAGATAGGTTCAAATGACAGATAATAAACAGAAGTTCAAAGGAAAAAGAATAGTGATATGGAAAAAACAATGCAGTTTTATTGGATATGATTAACAATAAACAGTGAATGCATCTGTCCCAGTGAGAAAGACTTTGAGCCATATCACGAACTGTCTCTAACCTTTTGGTTCTTGTCATCCCTAAGACCCCAACCAGGCTTAAACTAACCGTTATGGATATCGTTAACTGATGCCAAGTTTTAGTTTGACCACCACTATCTCTTTTCCAACCTGATTAATCCTTTGTCTGCTAACATCACCCACCGGTCGGGGAAGGCGATGGTTAGGAATGCGTAACACATGTCCTAACCATCGCAACTGATGTAACTTCATAACCCAGTCAATTGAATTCCCCTCTCACCTACCTAGCACTCGACGCATAACCTCAGTATTACTCACCCTATTGTAGCACCTAACATGGGAGATAGAGCACAGACACCAATGAACAAAAACAACTAGCCTACTTCTTCATATCTTCAACTTTCAATGGCCATGTCTCACTTACAGCTGTGAAGGAGGACACAGAGAACTACTAAGCAAAACACACATCCCTTGGTCGACAGCCAGATATCGCGTCTACGCCAGAGATGGCATAAACTGGTATATGCTAAACGAGCCCTCTCTAACCGTTCTAAGAATCCGTCAGCGATCATTCCGCCGCTACACCTGCTTGTCTGTATATTTTGCCTTGGAATTTAAACATAGTAGATGTGAGGCATAACTGAATTCCTAAAATACTTTCCTCATCGGGCAGCTTCGTCCTATGAGTGAGTTCAGGATCCGTAATTAGTTCTTTTTTAATTGCCATATTGATTTGTTTATTAGTATAAAGACTAGTTATGTCAAATCTAACAATTGTTTCATCATTCTCTAGTTGAATGTCATTTAGTTTATTTTTCATCTCATATGAATTAGCTGGTCTAGAGTTTGAACGATTTCTAATGGGGCATACTATTAGAGCTAAGTGTTTTGATAATTCATAAGTAGGGGTATTCCCTGAAATCTACTATTGGTCGTATGGGATATCCTGGCTTATGTATTTTGATGGTACCATATATTCTACTAGCATTAGAAAAAAGCTCAGCGATCGCAGTGCATGCATCAACACACAAGCACACAATAGGGTGGGGCAGGGTTAAAATTCTAAGAAGTAATATAGGTTTGTGGAGAGAGAGGTGGATTACTGAATCCTTGTTCATCGAGTCTACACCCAACACGCGCAATAAGAATGACTCATCGCTCATAGGCGAGACTTTATCAAAATAAATTTTACCCATAATAGAATTCCAGTCGTCTACCCTGAGAGCTAATTATGGTGCCACTCTTCTGGGAAACTGTTTCGCTTATCATTCGCCACCTGTTTTTCTGATTAGTCTAAATATTTGTTTGGTGTTACCTATCACCGATGCCTTTTCTATCTCTCGCGCTTTTCTCACTGTTCACAGCCGTTACGGAGACTTCTTGTCAGTTTGCGTTCGAACAGCTTTCTCTCCTCATCATAATCGGAGCTCGCCGAAATCAGTCTTCTTACGTTAATCGGTTCAGATGAGGTAGTAGAAATCCAATAGCTCTCACTATCTTTTGATTGTAGGTTATTAATAGCCTTGACAGCTGTGTTGACAGCTAACTGTATATTGTACCAGGCTTCCTCAAGAGGAGTCTTACTGTCGATTTCAGATACGCGTATAATTATTTCTTCCTTATATAAGGACTTAGTTTTCTGAACAACGCAAAGAAGCATTCTGACAATAAAATCATTAAACACTTACAAAACCGAAAGTATAAATACTTATGATTATACTACAAAAGAATGAGACAATCACAGAAAAAAGACTTACTGGCTTTTTGTCTTTTTTCAATGTTTCAATTAAATCCTTCAATGGACCAATCAGATTTTTTAGCAAATTTTCAGAAAATTTTTCATTTAATTTAGACTCCATTTCAAATGCTGCAGCTATTCTTAACCATGCAGTATGTACAGTTCTAAAAATGGTTAGAGGATCAACTTAAGCTCATTAGTACATTCAGATAAATGAATTTTGAAATACAAATACCTCTATAAGTGCGCGAATGCATATCGTGAACTCACAAAAAAGGAAAAATACAGAGATTAACACCTATGTTTATTTGCTGTTACCAGATTTCCACTATCATATCGGTGGATTTTTACGAGTGTTTGCTATCAACAGAACAGATTGAATGAATAGGTAATGCAAGTTTCCGAAGCTTACAGGAGGAAATGATTAGAAGACATCAGTAGTCTTTGTTAGGATTTCAGTCCAGGCTTCTTTATTTAAAACTCTGCTACCTGGAACATATTTTTATGTACTCGGTTATTAGCCACACTTAATATGAGAGGATTGGTGTTACTACTCATTTACCCAGCATACACGAACGATCTACTATGGCTGAGAGTAAGTAGACTTCGGTATTCTTCTCGAAGTGATCTCATGTAGTTGCGCGTTCACGGTCTCTGCCAGGTAAGTCCTGTTCACCTCCTTCACGTGACAAGGGTGTTCCTCAAAAATGTTATAAGGTTAATGAAAACGTTTGGTGGACATGTTGGTCTACCTAGAGGAGCCGGAAAATTCTGATTTAAAACGTAAGGTGTACATGGATTCCAGAATCCCAAGGGATTGAATGGTGTGTGAACTTGTTTTGGTCAAGCTCTGACATACGCTGCTCCACTACCTTGTGGATCAAGCTTCAGGTAAAAGGCTCGGGGAAGAGGGTGGTCATGTTAAGACAACCATCTATTTCGGTCTAACCATCCGTAAAATATCCTACCCTTCACACAAACTATGGAACTATATGTGATGCATCTCTTGATGTCCATAATGTACTAAGTTTGTGGTTTAATAATAAAAAGAGGCGATTCGGACCTAAGGCCAGTTAGCTGAGAGTCAAGTACTGAAGATAAAAAGCTACGCATTGTGGTTAGGGAATTAAAATACGTGACATGCACACAGCTTTCTTGACACCAACCCTTTCTATGTAAAACCGGTGTTTCAAATTACTGCGTAAGAAATCACCTTCTTCGAATGTAGTAAAAAATAATAAACTCAAAGTTACTGAAAGAAAATTTATCAGTATGGCGAAGAAACTGGTCCCGAATCTTTGAGACTTTGTTACACAACATTAATCAAATTATTATTATATTATATTATTATTATATCCTTTAATTCCTTGGGGAACATAGGGCTTCAGCTGCGCATCTCCATTGCCTTCTGTTTTCTGCCAACGTTTTCACCTGGATCCAAGTCTGCCCACATGCTTTCATCTCCTCTTCACATGACCTCCTCCATGTCACCCTCACACTGACGACCAACTCGCCGCTTCCCTTTCGGCTTCCACTCGAGCAATGGCTTGTTTAGTGATGTCACTTGATGATTTCCTCAGAGTATGGCCAATCCATCTCCATTTCTTCCTGCCTATTTGTTTCACAATCGGTTCCTGTTGCGTTGGTTCGCTCATTACCAAAGATCCCTGTTGCTGATCTTTTCTGGCCAGCCATCTGATCTTGAGTATTGAGCGAAGAAAACTGTTAATGAAGGTCTGAAGTTTGTTTGAGATGCTTTTTATGACGCGCAATGCAAGTCTCTGATCCGTCTTGTGAGTAGCACTGACTTGACATTTGAGTTGAAAATCCGGATCTTATTCTCCACGCTGAGTGCTGTTGACCTCCACACAGACTTGAGAGTAATGAAAGTTTGTCTTGCTTTTCCGATTCTGGCTTTGATATCCCCGTCAGTTCCGCCTGTAGTTGAAACGATGCTTCCCAGGTAGGCAAAGGAGGCTGTTTCTTTCAGGTTTCTCCCATTTATGCTGATTGTTGTCTGTTGTTGCTGTTGGTGTTGGCTAGGAATCTTCATCACCTCTGTTTTATCTATGTTCACCTGAAGTCCTATCTTTGATGCTTCTTCTGCCAGCTTGTTGCTTTTCACCCACATATCTCCCCGTTTGTGGGAAATCAGACATATATCATCGGCGAAGTCCAGATCCTCCAAGTTTTTTGTGTGAGTCAATTTTATGCCTGTTTCCTCTTTGGCCGTTGTCTGTCTCATTATCCAATCTACTGCAATGAGGAAAATCATTGGCGATAGTAGACAGACAGCCTTGTCGCACTCCCGTCCTCACTTCGAAGGTTTCCGTAAGTTTCCCGTTGTGGATTACTTGGCATGCAGCATTGTCGTTTAACTGTTACACAACATTAATCAAAACTAATCATTAAAACGTAAAAACATGTGAACTACTGACTAAATAAACACAGCCCATTACAACTAAAGTCAGGCTTGTACAACTTACCCACCGGTTGTTTTAGATAAGGTATCACGTAAACGACCACTTAATCCTGATAGGGCTCGTGAATAGTTTGACTGAAGTTCACATCTGTGTTGGGAAAAGAATAGAAAATTTTGAATCAACAGGAAGACAATGCCTATATATATGCAGACTTCTAGGCAAATACAGGGATTATCGAAATACTACACGCTAATATGTTAAACAGTAAGTTTATAACAAGAAGGATTAGAACTTTCAGTTTCAAATCAGCTCAGTCGAATTTGGTGACTTCAAAATTACCTAAAATTTCGACAGTTATAACGAATCCTCAGGGACACGAAGGAATATCAAAAAATTAGTATAAATTTTGACAAACGAGGATGCCTTAACATTGAACATTGTTGTTTATCTTACTGGAAAAGATTTTCACTCAGAATATATTTGTAGTGAAATTGAATTAATGGGATAGTCTACCTAGGTTCAACAAATGCACTGGAAAATATTTTTACGTCTTTAAATTGAAACTTCTAAAATCTTCAATATCGAGAGTGTACAGAGATGAAAATGTTGATTTGTTTTTTGTATTTTAGAAACGGTAAAATGACTTGTGATTAAATAATTTTGACATAACATTTAATAACATTTTAACTTTTGACTTATACAGAGTGATTCCGAGAATGACATTGTTTGGTTGAAGCTCGTACCCTTTTCGCCAACTCACAATCCAATCTAATCTAGTTTATCAACCAGTAGCTAAGAATTACGACTACGTAAACTGAAGCTATCAGGATACATTTGACTTGGTCCTAAGTCGTGATTCATCTTAACTCAAAATGTTAGCCAAGGTTGGATATCATTGAGAAGAAAAACAACAAAGGCTAGACTCAAAATCTATGGTAGTTCGCGATGTCTCATGCATAAAATAGATTGTTCCGCTAGAGATTATGAAATGCTAGAAATGGCTAACTGGACACAATGAAATTCTTGTCTTAGAATCGGTTGCCATGATGGTTAAATCTTCTGTTTATCTTTTAAATTTCAGACTTCATGAGTAACTTCAATTTATCTACTTACTGTCTTGTATTTTATTTTACATATTACCTAACACCTACCTACTCCCTTAATGTTGCTGTGGACCGAGACAATTCAAAATAAATAATTTAATTAAAGATCTTCCCGAAGGTCTATAAGGCCATTACGATTAGCATTTCGGTGTCTAGAAAGCAATTCTTGAAAAAAATGCCTCCATCTAAATTTATTACAGAAATGTTTTAAAAAGAAGAAATAAACCCCAAGTGAGTTGTTCACTTCTTTAGCATTTCTCCATTTCTCATTTCAACAGTTATCGTCTATTTTTAGAACACTAATGGAAGAGCTTTGCAAAATTAGCCAAGCATGTTGGTACTTTTCGCAAACTTTCTAAGGAGGTATGACAACAGTCACTTTTAAAAACAGTATAACACTTACTTTTCTTGAAATATATTTACGACACACTGGGTAAGTTGTATGCCTTGCTTATATTCTTCATACTGTTTATCAAAGCCACTTCGATTCTTCAGAACAAACAAATAAAATCAGAAACTGCAGGTAAGATTCATTTTAAATGAGATTTATAACAAGTTTCCTGGTAAAATTGTACATAATACACGTATAAAATAGGTGGAAAGAATGGCCGACAATATTGAAGTGCTTTAAAAACCCACCCAAAATTCTGCAGATTTCTTGGAAATATAGGTTGTTCTCTGTCGAATGTTGAAGGCATCAGAGCTGCATCGAATGAATATATCATGCTTTTATGGGACTGTTCTTAACAGAGCGAATTCGGTATTGATAGGACTGACAATTAAAGCTATGGAATTTAAGCAAGTATACACACACTCACTATGCAGTGTTTAACGCCGAAGATATGACCAAACAAAGGAAAGCAGATAATAGAAGATAATTTCAATCTAACTTAGGCATCTACTGCAATATTTCTCCCTTGTTTATACAATGAGCTTTATCGTGAGATTCAAATAAACTATAACATATCCAGAAACACTCAATAAGCTCAGCTCTAGAACAAAAATATTTGAGTTTGAAGATCTTACAATGAATTTACGGAAATAAAAGGATCTTTCACTCTAGATTAGGTTATTACTGGAAAGGGTTTTAAAACTTTTACCAAGAATCGCATCATACTTGAGTGGAAATATGAGGCTCCAAATTCGGAGCTTCCTGTGGTTGTTAGTTAAGTAGGCTTTGGGGAACTGTGGCTCAGTGTCAAGTCTGTTTCAGATATGATTCAGTCTTATTCTAAGATTTTAAGTCACAAGTATTATTCACTGATCCCAAGTAAGTTACCTATCGACCTGAAATGGGTTTCGCCACGTGTCAGGTGATCCACAATTGAAAACTAGGTGTAACTTTTGAAGAGAACAAGGGAGTAAAACAAGGCTCATAATCATATGACTATGAGCAATAGTTTGTGCTCGAAACGTCATCAGTTAATATTACTGTACAACACTGTGTGATTTATCAAAATAAAGTCTTATCTATAATGGAGGTATGCTCTACCACGGTGCCCAAGTTTTACATAAAACAAGGCTGTCTATTATCACCTACAATGATATCCCTAATTGTGGTGTACTGGATTATGAGCCAGACTGTTGAGTGCGACGAGACTGGAATACGCCGGACTACGTGTTTAATGTTCTACAAACTCGAAGACTTGAAGGCAAAAACAAACTGGCTGAAGAAGCGGAGAAGACAGAACACCAAGTGAACAAAGAGAAGGCAGAGGTGATGAAGATAACCAACCATTAGCAACAACAAAGAGCACTAATCACCATCAATGGGAGAAATTTGAAAGCAGCTAATTTATTCACTTGTCTAGGAAGCATCGTTTTAACTACAGGCGGAAGGGATGAGGATATCAAAACCAGAATAAGAAAGGCAACATACACTTTCATCTACACTTCTCAACGCAAAGAACAAAGTTATGATTTTCAAAACTAATATCAGATCCGTTTGCTCTTCTATGTAGTTAAGAAACTTGGCATGTCAAGAAATGGATTTCAACATGTTACATAGTTATATCAACAGCTGCACTCACTTTATACTGAAAATCAGATGGCCGGCCTGAAAGAATTAGCAACAAGAAACTCTAGCAACATACCAACCAATAACCGATTGCCCAGCAAATATGCAGAAAGCGGAGATGGATTGGGCACGCAATGAGGAGGCCATCGAGTGAGATCGAGTGCCAGGCCAGTGTTCGAGTTAAACCTGAATGGGGAGCGACCAGTGAGTCATCCGAATGACGTGGAAGAGATCATGCGTGGAGATGAGAGATTATGGTCAGTCATGGACCCAGATGAAGAGGACAAGTGAAAAACAACAAAATGGAGATGTGTTATTGGAGCTCTATGTTCCACTCAGAAACCATGGGAATAATAATAATGGAATACGTTTCGGTTATCATTTATTGGTCGGATATATCCCAGCTACACACTCCATGATAAATAAATTTCTTATAACATAGTTCAGTGAAAGACAACATCTATGACATTTCTGATCCAATTTTACGCAGAACACATACATCTAATCATATAATCCAAATGCTAAATTCAATCACATCTTGGTGTCATAAATTATCTTTTCAAAAGTTTAGGTTACAAGACGTATTAAAACGTGGTTTGTGTCACACGAGTTAGTAACTATTCAAAATAACTAACCAAAATATCAGATGGGTGATTAGTGTTCTGCAGCATCGATAACCAGTTTCGTAGCGAATAACTCAAAATTCCTCCTAAAAATGATTCTCCAATATCCAATATCCTGATGACGAGCTAGTATAAACCAGTGATTTCTTTGAGCTCGCTTCTTGATTGTGAGGTAGAGGTTCCAGATCTTCGGTGAGCTTCTGCGTAGTAAGTCCCGACACTCGACTGCTTTAGCTCTGGTAGACTCCAGGAGGAGTGGTGCGGGGATTGGTCGAGATGTGGTTTGTAGTATGCAGTATGTTAGGACTGTATTGCTGCCGTGAATGGAGTTTGACCTAACTCCCCTTGGTCATTCGGTGTAGTCATAAAAGCAGAATAGTAATAATAATAATAATAGGTTGTAGTGTAGATAATATAGGTTGAGATAAGTGGAATAATAAAGGTGACATAAGGAAAAGACAGAGTGAGAGAAGGCAGAATAGGTCGTGGGGATTTAGTTAGTACGCTTATTCATTGACAGTTTGGTTTCAAATTTTATGAGGATAAGCCATTGAGACACAAACCTTGCATTTCTGCATGATTGTCTAGCTTCCGCTTAAAAATCTCCACAGATGGCGCTGTAGTCACGGCCGCCGGTAAAGCGTTCCAGAGACGGCAAACACGAAGCGAAAAGAAATGTGATCGCACTCGAGTCTTTGGTCTCTGGTGTGCTATCCTTAGCGGGTTACCTCGTGGAAGCCTATAATCGCTTAATGGCAGGATGCTTTTATTTGGGTGGGCCTGGTCATTTAGGATCTTGTAGACGGTGATGAGGTCTCCCCTGTGCCTACGGTAACTGAGTGTGAAAAGACCTAATTTCTTTAGTCTTTCCTCATATGATTTGTTGCGGAGGCCGATCACCCATTTTGTCGCTCGTCTCTGGACACTTTCTAGAATGTTAGCATCCCTTTTGAGTAGCGGAGGTGCAATGATATTATGCACCTCAAGGTGTGGCCTCACATATGCCTTGTATAGCCTTAAGAACAGTTCGGGAGTGAGAGCTCCCAGCTGCCTGTGCATAAAGTGTAATGTTGCGTAGGCTTTGGCGACGTCCCTCGAGTAATTTCCACTGGTGTCTAGCTTTTCTGTTAGAATAAGACCTAGATCACGCTCTGATGGAACACAACTCAAGTTCTGGCCACCAAGGGTGTAATTTACACTCTGTGACCTGCCGGAATGAAGCTGCACTACTTTGCACTTCTTTAGATTGAAAGGCATTCCGTTAGCCAAAGCCCAATTTCCCAGAGTTTGCAGGTCAGCCTGCAATCTATCTGAGTCTTCCGATGAGTTTATTGCTCTCCAAATCTTTACGTCGTCAGCGTAAAGAAGCGCAGAGCAGTTTAGTTGGGGGGGCAGGTCATTGATAAAAATCAAAAACATCAACGGCCCTAGGATAGAACCCTGAGGAACCCCTGATGCCGAGGTGTGCCAAGATGATCGGATGCGGTTGACTTTGGTGCAGAATTCTCTCTCGCCTAAGTAATCTGTCAGCCATGCGAGAAGTGCTCCAGAAACTCCCGCCTTGCCTATTTTGTGAAGGAGCAGACCATGGTGAACTGTGTCGAATGCTTTCGCAAAGTCGAGAAAGATCACGTGGGCTGGTACCTTTTTGTCCCAGGATAGTGTCCAATCGTTCCAGGCTAGTAGAAGATTCGTCACGCAGGATCTTCCCCTCCTGAAACCGTGCTGTGCTTCGTGAAGAAGGTTAGTCCCATCGAAGTATTTTCTCATGTGGTCGTCAATGAGACTTTCCAATATCTTCGATACCACTGGAAGTAGAGCAACTGGTCTGTAACTGGTCACATTCTGCCGGTCACCACCCTTGAAGATAGGGGATAGGATTGCACGTTTCCATTCACATGGAAGTTTCCCTACATCAAGGGAGTGTTGGAACAGATCACTTAGGGGTTGACAGAGACTTTCTGAACACTGCTTCAGGACAGATGGTCTGATGCCATCACAACCTGGAGACTTTCCCGAAGCCAACCTTCCCAATTTTGCAAGTACCATAGCCGGGGTAATTTGAAATGTCCCCAGCAGGTTTTCGTGTGTTGGTTCTGCGATGTAATCTGGATGTTCTGTAGGGGTAATATCCTCGTTACTATTTAGTTGCCTGTGAAAGGCTAGGCTGAATGTCTCTGCCATTTCAAGACTAGTAAGAGATTTCCCATCAGAACCCACTAGATTGCATGCTCCCTGGTTGGTCGGTTTTCTTTCGGCCATAAACCTGTATAGGCTTTTGGGGTTCACGAGAAGCTTATTGGCGAGGTCTCCCTGAAATGTCCTTCTATCGCTCCGGACTCGTATGTTACATCGATTCCTGAGTTCAAGGTACACTTCATATTCGGGTTGACTCTTCGATCGTCGCCACGCGAACCAGGCTTTACGCTTTGCCTGCAGAAGGCGTTGTGTCCCCTTTTCAGCCATGATCGTTGCTTCCTAGCTTTTGGTGAGACTAAAGGAACAGTGTCTGAGACCGCCTGGTGAATGATCTCCTTTACCACTCTCCAGTGTTCTTCTACTGTTAGCTCTGTCCATTTTTTAGGCCAGTTTGCTTCAGACAGAAGTCTTCGCATTTTGGTAAAGTTGGCTTTGTTATAACACAGATAGGGCTGTGTATTGTCCCACTGTAAGCGCTCGCGGAGGACTATGTCGAATACTATGACCGCGTGGTCACTACTACCTATGGGAGTCGTGATCTGAACGTTTTCCACTAGTAGCTGGTCACTAGTGAGCACGTAATCCAGTCTAGAAGACTTCCCATCAGGGCCCCATCTAGTATCCATCTTGACATTTTCGGTGAATCCAGCCTTCCTGATGGTATGCAGCAGATTTCGATCAAATCTATCATGGGCTTTTCCCGACACCAAGTTAAGAGATGGGGCATTGAAGTCACCAGCTATGACAATTTGATCATAACCCATGTCTTGAGTCGCTGAAATTGTATTTAGCAGTACCTGGTTATGGTCTGCTCCACATGAAGGTGATCGATAAATGCTGCCCACTAGATATTTGCAGTACCCAACGGTGAAGTGGCACCATATGGAGTCAGGGAGCTCTGTGAGGGGAGGGTCCGTCGCGTGAACACATCTGAGCTGTTTGTCGACGTATATGGCGACTCCACCTCCTTCTTTCAGGTCCCTATCTCGCCTGACTAGGACCATATCATTTATACTGACTTCGCTGTCTGCCACCGTAGGGGTTAGCCAGGTTTCCGTCAGTATTATGATTTTGGAGTTTAGTTGTGATTGTAGGTGTCTAAGTTCAGCTATTTTGCCTCTTAGCCCTCTCACATTACTATACAGGCAACTGGTAGTCAGTCTCACCACTTCCCCGTATTGGGGGGTAGTTGACTTGATATTGGCTATCGGTTGAGGAGTTATCCTACGAACTAGTTGGCCGATTCCCCAGGAACCGGCCTGTTGGCGTTTTTTTCTTCTAGTTCAGTTGGAGCACTCGGATGACACTGGCTATCATCGTCCGTGCTGCACCGCTGTAGTGTGACTAGGGGTTGAGGATTTTCTTTTACTACGCTTTGTTCTCTCCTTTGAGTGCGAGGCCGGCTCTCGCAGCAGCGAATGTGTTTGCTGACCTTGTCCTTGGTCTCGTACCATCTATGGAGAGCGGTAGTCAACTGGTCTTGGGAGCTGAACTTGACAGCTAACAGACGTGGCGAGTTAATTGACATAAGATGAGTGGGTCGAGGCAGTCTATAAATAGAGACAGCCCCTGAACTTCCCAGGGCCATCTGGGATGCTAACCATCTCCATTGTTGTACATCATGACAATGCTTTTCGCAGGCGTTCCCAGTTACCAGTTCGGGAATGCCATGCACAACCATGGAGGCAGAAGGAATGAGCTCTGGCGACTCCCTCGCCATTTGTCTTTCCTTCCACGGCCTGTCTGGCTTAACACGTATGTTACAGGCCCTCCCTATAGAAAGGACTTGAGAAGCCAGTAACACTTTTTCAACATCCTCGGTAGAGCTCAATGTTACCCTCAGTGGGGATGGTTTGCCTTCAGGTGCAGCAGTGCCCCTATACAATCTGCATAGATTTACTGGTTGGATGTCCAAACCCAGTGTGCTACTTAAGATGGACCACTGTTCCTGATCAAATAGGGCCCTATCTTTCAGCAGACTACTGCTACAGTCTGGTACATTAAAGAGGATTACACAATTTGATCTGCTAACCGTGGGCTTGGGCTCGGTCCTCGCACGTTTGTGATCACCTTTAAGACCGTTTTGGTTTGACTGGTGCGACTGGGTATTTTTATGTGTCTCAGTGCTATAGCCAGCATTACTGGTAGACGGTTGGGGTCTTTTTCCAACGACGGAAACCCGTGGTTCTCCAGCCTCTGTGTCTGGAGCGGTTATGGCAAGAGTTACAAGTTTAACCGGTGAGGATTTTGGTATCCCCGGTTTACTCGCGTTTGTACTAACTTCCGGATTGGTGGGGGTCGAGCTTTTCACCTTTTTCCCCGCTACTTCTGTGCCACCTTTAGTTTTCAAAGGACTACGCGAGGCTACATCAGGACGGCAACTCGGGCATATGTACCAGAACCATTGGCATGGGTTTTTACGCATAAAGTCATAATATGCTTTTGGTACCCCACTGTCGCATCTGCAATGCACCCATCGGTTGCAAAAGTTACATTCGAAGGCAGAGTCTGCTTGTTCGACAACAGAAGCACAGACCTTGCAGTCGTCTGTCTTCTTGGGGAGCGTTCTTGTCGTCTTGCGACGTCGTGAACGTTTCTTTTTGGCCTTCCTATTTGTTTCATGGTCTACCATGGGGATGGGTGTTATGAAGTTCTCACTTAGTGCAATTTTCCCACTCGGATCTGTTAACCTAGTCGTGTTAACAGGGGTGGAGCCACATCCACTTGGCTGACTTTGCACAGCTTCACTGTAGGACTGTGGCGACATGGGTAATCTGTACGAGCTGGGAATATTAGCCCTGGTCTTCAGGACCGGTATGCGTGAGTCCATCACCTTCTCCTGTTTGCCTAGTTTGGCTGAAGCCCTGG